TTCTCTCCCAGCTCTGCACCAGTACTGTCCTCCATCAGAGACACTAACTGAGCTGATGCTGTAGGAGTGTGTTTCAGTCTTGATCTCATTCTCAGGGTTCTGTGTGTGTTTGAACCAGTAAACCCTTCAGTCTGCTACATTTTACTGGTTTAAACACATACAGTGCAGCTCCTTTATGGCTTGATGTGAGTTTCGTTTTTTCTACTTTTGGAGAAAAAGCACACAGTTCAGACCATGAGGGTCACAGCAAAAAACATTTACAAATATTAGAAAGAAAGATACATATTAAAAGTTAAAATAAGAAAAATACGGTATCATATGGTAAATATGGCAGTAAAACATATGGTAAAGGCTTATATTTAGTAAAAACTGAATAGGGTTTTTGAAATAAGCAATCGCATAAACCATATTATATAATCATATAAATAATGGTGTTGTTGCTGCAAGCCCACTTTGGATGACTGAAATAAACACTGAAAAAGGAAAGAGAAACAGAGAAACATATTTACACCGAAGTTGTTTTTGCTTCAAGAACAAACACAAGAGCAGCACATTTCATGACACTAAAAATAACATGACTGTTAAAGGTATGTTTTTTTCACTACATGAGACAATATTTCTAGAGCAATATAGAACAAACCACTAATATTTTAAATGTGATGTGGTTAACATGAAGTTTCATCTCCTAATCTGAAGCTGAATGACCTCATTTCTACTACATGATAGCTGTGTTCTGGTGCACCAGGTCAAAGCCTGGTTTTGCAGCACATCAGAGGACTGAAACAACATTGTTAACCCACATCACTGACACTGAGCATTTCTTGTGGCACTAACAGAGCAGTTCATGGTCTAAACATTCAAACCATCTTATAAACCTCCAGCAGTCAGTACAATCAGATTCAGCAACCACAAGCATGTTTTTTCTACTATCTTCTCATTCCCACACAGAACTCTCTCTAGTTCAGTCCATTAAACACACACATTCACAAAACAATTACAGTGATAAACACATACTATAGTGTTCCACTGACCGCAGACTGAAACACACACAATTGGCACATCACTTACAACACTCAGATTAAATATTAGTGCCCTCATACAGCAGCTCTCACTCTGCTGAAGACATAAAGAGAACATTTACTCACAGAGTATTACAGAGAGTGACCTGAACTCCATACTGTCCCAGTAATGACTGACTGGCTGAACAATGCTCTGTGTTCAACACTCATCACTTCCTGAGAGAGAGAGAGAGAGGGAGAGGGACAGAGAGAGAGAGAATTCAGATTTCTTTTATGGCTCATATATGTATACATATTTTGTATTTTGCCTTGCTCAAGGCATTTCTGTCACAAACTGTTGGCTCAGGGGATCGAACTAGCGACTTTCCGGTCACAGAGCTGGTTCCCTAACCTCCAGCCCACGACTGCCCCTAACATACGCTTATTATTTCATGTTTCTATAAGTGTTTATAATAAATCTGTATAAAAGCTGGAAAGTTTTTACCAACTTTAGTAATATTTAGTGGTTCTGTACATAAGAAGGATGAAAGTAAATGCCTAAGAAATGACAGGTGAACCGCAGGTGTGGTTTAATGTTTATTCTTCACAAAATAAAATTCTGAATTAAGTAAATAATTAATTATTTGATTGTGTCAGTGTGACGCTGTTTTAGGCAAACACAAGTAATTATGCAAGTTTTGATTTCATTTTTTTAAAAGTGATATGCACCTTTTGAGCTACATGGACAAACATTTTACATCATTAATGATAATGAAACAGATCACATGTATGAAAACATAACATTAAATAGTTATGAACAACTATGCAAGTTAATTCTTCTAATCATTCACTTATGGATCAAAAACCATTGGTCAATGTTGTTTTCTTTAACCCTGCAAATCAATCTTTCCACAAAAATTCTGAGACAGACAACTGTCTATGTTTATTCTGTTTCTTCACAGTCGTTTTTGCTGAACTGTTATCTATGTTTGAATATTTGGTTTACGTTTGGGATGATTACTCTTAGCACCCTTATCTGGCAGCATATCTTCAATGACAAAACTCTGTCACCATCCTCAGGTTCTAGTAAGTTCAGGATGCCAGACTTCCTTGTGATCTCCTTGTCAGAAATAGAACCTGTGGAGAGGCTGGAAATAAAAGTCATGCACTGCCTGGCACTACTCCAAGTAGACTTTTAAATGTGGTGGTATTTTTGTGGGCGGAGAAAGTCTCAGAGTGAAGCAGAGAGGTGGCACTCTTCCAGCAAATTTCTGTGCAGTCAAGTATGACTCACACTTTTGGACTGTACAGTCTAAATTTCAGTGGTATGGAGTTATTCATGTGTCACCTGCACACCCACATGGTTACGTAACATTTGCCCATGTGATGCTTATTCTACTAACTGTAGCTATGCTAACTCCACAGATGTCAGCCGTTACTTGCTCCTTAAGTCCAGCAGTTGCGCGAATGCAATAGATGAACAACTCATCTAGGAGCTGTACCTTCTGTGCAGGGCTTGGTGTTGGGAGAGCAATTTCTCCCAGTCTTTGTGTAGTGGTCCACTAGAGAAAATGTGTGATGACTCTCAAAAAATTTAAAACCCTTGCTAAGACAGGAATCGGGTTTAATACACAAATCTGCTTTGAGTAATTTGATTAATTTAAAACACAAAATCTGCTAAGGATGGTTGATGACTCCATTGACATCTTCTGCAATCAATCTTCCAGCTCTTCCGTGTATTGCAGGGCATCATCCAGAGCACCAATAAAATCTTTGAAATTCATTATTATATAGTGCACAGTACACTGCAGGGCATAATCCAGTGCACCTATTGAAGTTTTAATCTATGATAAAACAAATTGCACATATTGTTTGTGAGTTTAGTCTAGCCCAGAACAGATGAAGCCAACATTTTGCTATTAATGCTGTTTGTTAATAATATTACGGAAAATAACTCATGTAATATAACCAATAAAACTAGATTAGCCATGATAACTGATGAGAAAGCCAAAGCTGCATAGTCATTGTCCATAGCACCACTGCTAAAGTTTTCCACAAACACAACAAGCTGTTATAGACCTGCTGCTCACACCATTCTGTACCTGGAGCTTAACTGGATTAGACTTTGGTTAAGTTTAGGGTAAGGATTAGGGCCAGGGTGAGGGTTAGGATTAGGTTTTGGGTTGAGGTTTATGTTAGGTTTAGGATTAGGGCCAGGGTGAGGGTTAGGATTAGGTTTTGGGTTGAGGTTTATGTTAGGGTTAGGATTAGGGACAGAGTGAGGGTTAGGTTTTGGGTAAGGTTGGGTAAAGATGGGTTTTACTTAATAGAAGTGCCATATAAAGTCTGCTTGATGTAACATATTAACAATACATCTACTTAATGTAAGTAATGTATCAACAGTACATCTTTAAGATGTTTACCTCAATGTATTCAGATGCTTTATTACTGCTACTTCACTGATATGTTATTGATACTCTGTTAAGAGTTTATTAATCATCTACCAAGGACCACTCAAAATAAAGTGTCACCCAATAAGATTGTTCCACTAAAAGTGGCAGGGAAGAACATCGGCTTTCAACTGTGAACCTCCTTCAGTGTAGTAGGCTGCAGTGAAATGCTGGCTATACCTAAAGGTGCTTCCCTGCTGTATGACAAAGTTTCTCCCTTCATCCCTCCTCATTGCATGCACTGATTTGTTCTTCTGCTCAGTGTCAGCTGAAAAGCCATGGATGCTGAGCTAGGTATACTGCAGTAGCTCTTGTTCTTGGCCATTATTGTTTTGGTGAAAGTGTAATACCCCAGCAATGAGTGCTCCTGGCAGAAAAAATGAAAAGGGCCTGTTCTGGTGTGCCAGTCCAGACCTCTCAGCCGAGACCGCCAAGCGTTCCTTTTTCATCCTACGCTCTACACAATTGAGCAACAGACTTGATAAAAAGACTCAACAGCTGAACCCAAACTGTATTTCCTACTGACAACCCTCATCAGTCTACTCCTTCTATCCTTTCAGTCATCCCTCCATCCTCCCTTAGGGAAACATTGATTTTAAAACTCCATTAATTTTCAAGCTATAGCCATCAAACTTGGTAAAAAGGCTCAACAGCTGAACTCAAGCACCAAACTTTCATTTCCTGACAGCACTTATCTGTCTACTCCTTCTATCCTTTCAGTCATCCCTCCATCCTCCCTTAAGGGAAACATTGATTTTAAAACTCATATAATTTTCAATATGTAGCCACCAGTTTAGGAAAAAGACTCAACAGCTGAACCCAACCTGCAAACTGCTTTTTTTACTGAAGCCCTCATTTATCTATCACTTCTACATTTTTATACCTACCTTGAAAATAATTTGTTAAAACTCTTTTAATTTTTAATGCATATTTATTAAATTTGAAATAAATATTCGATTTGTAATATAAATTACATATCTGCACTTCAATATGATAGTTAACTTCATGTTACATCGGGCTTTGGCAAGTTTATTCACCAACTTTACTTTCTAATTGTTATTATTATTGCTTTCAATTATTAACACAAGCATTTAAATGACTGAAATCTAATGATTAAAATATAATAAAATGCTCGTGAAATAATAATGATCATATTTATAAAGGCAGAATGTTAAAGGCGTGTTGATTCAAAGTTACAGTTTCTGTGTTTTTAATGTTGTCAGTGAGTTTTCGATGTTGAAACAATAACTGAAATTATCTCAACCACATTTCAGCGCAGAAGGTCAGTCATGTGCCAATGGGTTGTTTCTTGACTTGCGTGGTTGTTCAGGAAATGCACCGCAGTCTGGCGACCCTGACGTCGTGTCTACATCAGCTCCTCTTAGGTTGGCTTCTTCAGAACTAGGTATTTATTTCCGCAAGCGAGTTTCTCTTCCTCAGTCGCCGTTGGCCGTGAATCTACAGTGACCTGAGATGTAGACTGAACGAAAGCTCCGGTCTTGTTTTCTTCAGCGGTTTCTTGGGGAAAGAGCTTCTTCTCAGACAGGGCGGGATGGCGAGTACTAAGCGGTCAGCAGTGGATTATATCAGAAACGGCCGAGCCGCACTAGTGAGAAGCCTTCGGAACCTGCAGCTGATAGAGCGAACTTTAAGAGAACGCGGACTTCTCCCGGACTCGGACATAGACCAGATCTTCAACCAACACGCCGCTCCGGCTGACCAGGTCAGACAGCTGCTGGATGCAGCAGCCGAGAAAGGTGAGGATGTGTGTTATGAGCTGCTGCGGGTCTTCGACGACACGAGGGACCAAACGTTCCCGATGCCTGTTGAAGAACACCCCGAGCTTCACCAGTGGATCAGCTGCTTCTCCTTCGGACACGACCCCCAGCACCAGAGCGACGACATGGCGGGTAACGTGGTCGCCAACATACATACATATATACATACAAACAAACAAACAAACACACATTCATTCTCTTAATTATTTATGGCAATCGCGCTTTGTCAGCGGTTTGGGCGGGGTGAGTGCCTGGCTGCCTTGGACGTGTTTGTCCTACTGCTCATGCCCAGAACTTCGCTAAACACACCACAATAACCCCAGTTACTTTCCCAGTTAAACAAAACAAATGTGAAATAATTTTATTGTACGCACAGCACCCCCCTAAATAGATATTTACAGTTTAAAACTAAACCTGAAAGTACAATTTACTGGATTATAATTTGGATTATAAAAGAAGGCATGACATTGGTGCCTTCTACACACATACATATATTTTTTATGTGTTTTTTACAATGTACAGGCTCAGCAAGATTGTCAACTATAAATAATACTGTCAACTATAAATAAATCTATCTCACTTATTACAAAGAGGCAGAAATATATACAAAAAACTATCTACAGGCATATATACAACTAGAAATATACAAAAATATGCAAAAAGGTCTATCCTGAGATGAAACAGGCAGTGCAATAATGAATGTGCAAGGAGGTACAGGTAACAGCATATAATGACAGTACTGAAATGTGCATATATTGGTGATGAAAAAAAGTGTCTAGGCATGGAGTAGTTTGCAGATGTGCGATAAGGTGTGCAGATGTGCAAGATATACAGTAAGGTGTCCATATATGCAGATTAGCATAATTTAGCATATTACTTTACAGTGTTGTATTAAACTAGCCCACTCACTGGTAAAACCTATCCCTTTGATTGTGTGTAGGATAAAAGAAGAGAACTCTTTGTATTTGATACCAACATACTCATTTTATGATTACATAGTAAACCTCCACACTACAGTTATTTGTAACAGATAATTTATGGTATAGTATTTGTAACACATAATATAGAGTAATATAGTGCTTGATTCAAATACAGAAATACCTTGTTACTTTACGTAGCAATGAGAATAAGGACTGTACAAAGCAAAAACCTATGTAATATATATATATATATATATATATATATATATATATATATATATATATATATATATATATATATATATACTTTAACATGGGGAGAAAAATTGTCAGTTCTCTGTTCATTTAGTTTTTAAAAGCTGTTTGTTGCTGACTTTCCTTATTTAACAAACCATGCTGTGTCTTTATAATTCACACCAGAAATAGTAAATAAAATAACAAAATCTATTAGAATAGATGAAATAATTTCCTTTCTGACTTCATATCTAGTCTCTGATCTGATGAGCTCTGAGTTCTATAGAAACCCGTTTCCACAAGAGGCCACATAGTATGTCATACTAAAGACTTATTGTCTCTTAATAATGATGTACTATCTCATAATAAGGAGGAAAAAAAATCTTTTTATGATATGCTGTCATCATTTTGAGAAATGTTCTGATTATAACGGAACATGAAATCATACGTCAGAAGTATGTCAGAATTATAACATAGTATCTCAGTATTATTATTAGACATTAAGTCATAATTATCAGATATTAAATCCACACAATGTCGGTCTTATTCACTCTCATAAATAGGTTCAGTGGAGGGCATGTTAGCTAGTTAGCCATTAAGATGATTGTCATCTCAGAGCATTGCAAGCCTGCCCACCTCCAAGGAGTCTGGGCTGCAAAGCTGGCACCCCACAGAAGTGAAGGATTTCATAAAACTAAAAATTGTCTTATATTCTACTGGCCTTAGCTTTTACCACTTTACTTTAAAATATTGTCACAGCTCTAATGTCATGTATAATAGATGGGATTTGCAAGCATGAGCAGTAAAAAAATAAAACTTAAACCAATTTAACCAGTCTGATTGGCATTTACATTATTTATTAATATGAATTTCTAAAGACAAGTGATTTGCTCTGAGCACCGCTCTGCAGTTTTCAAAGTTTCAGTGGAGTAAAGCTCTGATGTCTTGATCAGATAATGGGGAGTAAAAATGGATTTTCTGCATCTCAGTGCTTATATAGGTCTTACAGCTTAATAATGATATATCCTCTTTCTCCATTGTTTCTTAATCAATTAATTCCTTGTTAATTGCCTTTACTTCAATTTTGGATTGGAGCAGCTATTTGAAAATGCTTTTAGTGGCCAGATCTGATTCTTTTTTCCCATTCTTTTTCAGATTCAGGCCCTTGTGCAAAATATCAGAAACAACTTAAAACAAGAGCCATGCAGATTCTTCGAGAAAAGTGGATGCAAAGCATGACTTTTCTAAAACACAAACCAAAAGGGAAAAGTTTCAGGTATATACCACTTGTTCTGGACACTGATGTGAGTGCAGTACCTCATATTAAAATCAAAGCATACAAGAAAACCAGAGCTAAAAAGCTGAAGAAATGCATCCCTACAGACAGGAGGAAACTGTCACCTTATCAATTACTTACAAGCAACGAGAAGAAAATCCTCCTTGTTGGAAAACCAGGCATTGGGAAAACAACGGTGGTTCAGGAGATTTTGAGAATGTGGGCAGATGGAGAAGACAGTCAAGTGAGCTACATGTTTTATTTTGATGAGCCATTAATAAAGCTTATGTCAAAGTCTGCGGAAAATGAAAGTTTGAGCTCCTTTCTTTTTAACAAGTATCTTATGCCTGTTGAGAGCCCTGAAGTAGTTTGGAAAGATGTGGAAGAGAATTCTGAAAATGTTGCAATTATTTTTGATGGCTTCATGGACGTTGTTAGTGACTCTGTAATTGAGAGAATAATGAAGAAAGAGATCTTAAATTATGCAAAGGTTTTGATCACTTGCAGACCAGAGGCGGACGTTTCAGGTGATCTGTCTGACTGGGCCTCTTTCAGAGTGGAGGTCCAGGGCTTCAGCGAGAGCTCTATTCGGGCGTACTTTAAGTTGATGCTTGGAATAAATGATGACACCAGTATCAGTGTGTTGAACAACCTAGAGCTGTTCAGTCTGTGTCATGTCCCGATGTATGCCTTCATTGTTACTGCCTGCATCTTATTTAGTCCTTCGGAAGCAGATAATCAACCCTGCACCATCACTGAAATGTATGTACGGATCTTCCGTTATTGCATCGCCCTCCATCATGAAAATATAGGCAATTTGGATAAATACATCCAAGAGAAGATGAATAATATCATGTTTTTAGCATCAACGTCCTATCAAGCAATTCTTTCTAAAACAGTCAACTTGGCAGACATCTGTCTAAAAGACACAGTGCAACATGCTTTTTTGACACCAGTGACATTTGACAGAACCTCTGTGTTCTGCCAAACAGCCTTTGTGTTTCTACACAACACAATGCAAGAGTTTTGGGCAGCGCTTTTTTTGCTCATGACTCCTGATAAGATCGGACACCTGCTCAAACAAAGCCAGACAGAGGAGGGGAAATACCTGAAATACGTCATCACTTTTCTTTGTGGACTCTTGTCTGAGAAAATGGGAGCCTACTTGGAGTGCCTGGTCTCACATGACCAGGTAAAATCAATCTCTGCCAAATACTTTAAAGACATCATGAACACGTTCCTCTATTCAGTAGAGGAGGATGAGGAAGATCTGAATGTGGAGCCTGAGAATGTCCTCTATGTGTGTCAGTGTCTTTATGAATATCAGGCACCTGAAGCATGTTTGCTCATTCTGAAAAAAATAGACAACACAGTGGATCTGAGTGACCAGTCTCTGGACCCACATCAGTGCTGTGCTGTCTCCTATGTGATAAGTCAATCCACTGCTCAGACTGTCCAGCTTGACTTGACGAACTGTGCCATCTCAGACCCTGGGGTAAAGCTGATCCTTGGTTCGATAACAAATCTCAAGAATCTCAGGTACAAATCTTTAAATTTATCTGATCATTAACAACAAAACCATATCCCATGTCCCTTATAAGTAGACTGTCCATCTAAGATTCTGTTTTTACACTGCAGAGTTAAGGTTAGGCTATGAATGACCAATGGCATGTGGTCTGCAAGACTGCAACAAGCTTTTCTCACATGATGTGAGATTGCAGGATGCTTGTCTTAAGTTGTAAGGCTCGACTACTAGTGGGGTTCAGTACTTCCTCTGGCAGCCAGGACATGAGATGATACAAAGTGACATGTAATTGGAAGGCACTGAAAGGCATAAGCCAATGTTTATGAAACTATTTTTATTTGTTCAGCAGTATGTATGGGGCTTTAATCATTTTGGAAAGTGGAAACATTATGAGGGAAGGTCCTGTAAAATGGCCTTATTGCATTTAACCTTAAAGTAGTCAGAGTAGTCATTTGATTTAATGACTCCCAGGAAATGACTTCCAATGACTTTTTACCATCATATTTAACAGTTCCCAGTAGTATGGGATGGAGGCATGTTTTCATTTTCTTCAAATGTAAGCATGACCACACATCGAGGAAAAAAGTAACACAAAATGTACATATTAGTGTTATAGTAGCTACCAAACGATTCACTGAGTAAGAAGGTAATACATGAATACTGAGCATTAGCATTTTGAAGCAATTCAATTGAATTCATTTAAATTCAATTCAGGTTTGAAATAGCTTTAAATAATGAGCATTTCATTACAGAAAAACCTTAAATCTGAAGGACGGATATGAAGGGCTGCATGCAGTAAATACCATACTTTACATAATGAAGCAAAACAACTTACAAACTACAAACTAACTGTTTTAAGTATAGCTGGCATACTAGTGAATTCAGCTGAATTTTGGTAAGTTTTAAAGGAATGTGATCTGCAACTTACTAAAACTTTGGCTGGATTAGCTAATAGCAAAAGATAAATTAGTCACTGTTAGTTTTGCTTATTTTCTTTAAACACCATATTTACTGCTTGTAGTGTTTCTTTCTGTTCTTCAGACTGAAGGTTTTTCTTTAAGGAAGAATTACAATCATTACTGCTGTATACCTTTCCTGATTCTGCCTTGGTGATGTGGTTGCATGACTCTGGGGAGCTTTTCCCATAACTAGCTCCAGGGCCAGAGTGAGTTTAATACTCACATTTTTGACATTTTCCCTTTTACAAAAGACTGAGTTGGGCTGGAATGTCAGTGAGGTATTTATTAATTATAATTATAAATACATTTTATATAAAAATATATACACTTTATATAAATAAATATACAAAAAATAAATAATTTTCATAAGTTCACTAAACTATGACTTATTTTATTATGTCTGAATTCCAGTTTCACAGTTATAAAGTAATATTATTTCACAGTTGGACTAAAGCATTGTATTTTCATAAACTTTATTAATTGTCAGATTTGATCTGTTTCATAGACTATCGTCTGGTCCAATGCAATGTCAGATATGGAGGGTGGCACTACAAGAATCAAGTACTGATTTTGACAACTTGCTGAGACTGTTTGGATTTGAGATGCATCTTTCAGTGCAACAACAACAAAACAGCAAGATGTTTCAAAACACAAAAGATGTGTTGACTGCAAAAAGGAAAAACAAGGTCAAGCTATGCTTGCACATGGATACACAGCAAATTGCAGCAAAATCCCTTTTGGAAAACATCTATGGAAGCTTACACAACATTGCAGACCTCAGGTGAGAACATTCTGTGGCATGTATCCTTACCATTTGTTTAACCACTGTAGTAAATTGGAGTAAATTGGAAAAAAGGAGTAATCTGTAGAAATATCCCATTAAAGCCCCATAAGGTGTATGCAATAGTGAAGAGATTTGTCACAGTAGCAGCCTTCAGATTTCAAGTCAGTTTTGTCTACATAGCAATCATATACGTTGGTTAGTGATGGCCTTATACTCCATGTATGGTCACTTAGTGGATTTAGTTAACAGAATGTGAACACTAGTCAGGAAATGGTTAATGATGATATTTTTATGTGACTTAGAATTTACAATTTGAGATGGCTTTTACAAACACTGTTACAAACATTTTTTGACATTTATTAGGTTTATATCAACTGGAAGGTCCTCTGAAGTACTTTCATTTCAGATGAATCTCTTCTTGCAAGGAGCCCTCTACGAAATGGAAACAGGCCAAACATGTGTTCGGCTTCTGCTGTCAGTGAATAGTCATTTTTGCCTACATTCTCCTTCTGAACAAAGCAATTTTATATGTACGCTGTACCTTCGTGCCAAACAGATGGGAGTTTTGGCAGTGTTGCAACCAGTGTTCCAAGCATGGCCTTCTTATTGGGTTGTGGACCTCAAAGAAAGGAAGACACCTCTTTTTCTCTTGGTGGAGCTACTAAACTTTCATACTAAAATTTCAAAGATGAAAAAGCCAGTTGAAATTTGGGGGTCAGCTGAAGAGCATGAACTCAGGATTTTTCTCCAGTGTCTACCATATGTATCACAAGTGAGGTAAGAGATAAAGTGCAACAAAGTAATACATAACTACACCATGACACTGCAAAACTACATAATCTATAAAGAAAACATAGATAGATAGATAGATAGATAGATAGATAGAGATATAAACACACTTTTGTGTTTCATAGTTTAAAGTTTATAGTTGCTCTTGCCTAACCATTTTCCCTTTGCTGACAGGTTCAGTGATTACATTCATAACAAGGTAGATGACACAAAGACAGCTATAAAGGTCCTTGTGGATCTTTTCATTTGTGCATCAGAGATTGATGATGATAACTACCTAAAAATGCTGTCTTCAGTTTGCTCCTACTCGTCATTTCCCTTTGCTGATGACACAGGAGAGAACCAGAGTACCTTCTTGTTGCAGTTATACTCCTATGTGAAAGAGTATGAGTCTCAGACAGGAAGAAGTGTCCTGCCTGCATTACTGCCCATTTACCAGTCTGCTCCTACTGTTTGGATCATAGACCTTTCAAAAAGTATGACACCTTTGCTTTATCAAACCATGCAATTCCAAGGGACGAAGAGACCAGTGGAATTAAAAGGCTGGACAACTGATGAGACTGAACCAAGAAACATTCTTAATTGTGTAGGTGACTTTCTGCAATGCCTACCATTGCTGTCCCAACTCAGGTGAGAATTGTGTACTTTGGACTTTTAATTTATTAATTTATTAATTATGTAATTATTATTGTCATTTCTTCTTCTTCTTCTTCTTCTTCTTCTTCTTCTTTTTATTATTATCATTATTATTATTATTATTATTATTATTAGTAGTAGTAGTAGTAGTAGTAGTAGTAGTAGTAGTAGTAGAGGTGGTGGTAGTAGTAGTAGTAGTAGTAGAGGTGGTGATAGTAGTAGTAGTAGTAGTAGAGGTGGTGATAGTAGTAGTAGTAGTAGTAGTAGTAGTAGTAGTAGTAGTAGTATTGAACGGCACTGTTACAGGAGTAATCAATCACTTCACTACAATCATCAACAAAGCACTATGAAGATTTGATGCCTTACTTGTTGCTTTCATTTTTCCCAATCCAGATTAGAGCTTCTGTTATGTGATGGAAACAAATCTGACAGAAAAACAGCCATTGATGTCATGTTGGGCCTTTTTATTTGTGCTTCAGAGAAAGGAGACGATACACTAAAACTACTGTATTCACTGTGCTCCTACTCATCTTTTCCCTTTGCTGATGACACAGGAGAGGTTCAGAGTATCTTCTTGTTGGAATTATACTCCTTTGTGAAAGAGTATGAGACTCAAACAGGAAGAAGTGTCCTGCCTGCATTGCTGCCAATTTACCAGTCTGCTCCTAGTGTCTGGGTATTAGACCTTTCCAAAGGAGTGACTTCTTTTTTGTATCAAACTATGCAGCTCCAAGCAACAAAGAAACCAGTGGAGCTGAGAGGCTGGACAAATAATGAGAAGGATCTGAAGTGCTTTCTACAGTGCCTGTGCTTTGTGTCACAACTCAGGTAAGGGTTTAGTACTGACCTGTGATTGGATGTAATGTTATATTTAGGCCCAATCCCATTTCTTCTTTTTCCCTCTTACCCCGTGTTTTCAAGTGTCACGCTAACCCCTTGGAACTGAGTTAAAAGGGGTAGTGGTTGAAACCTTGCCCTACGAAAGGGGCCAACCCTCAAAAAAACCCCCCCAAAAAAAAAAACATTGCTTCATTAACAGACTACTAGCGGTGCTCTGTAGGCGACCCGGCCCGACTTCAGTGATAGCAGAGAAGGGAAAAGTTCAGCGACCTCGCTGCTGGGCTTTAGTTACATTTAGGGCATCATTTGCTTTCAAAGAGGGGGTGTAAGACAATTATTTATTATTGCCCACCGCTGATTCTTTGGTGATACAAAGCTGAAATCAGATATTCACCAGGTTCTTGTTCGAATTTTCCCGTTCCACCTTAAATGGTGCAGCAGTTACATTCTGGTGCTTCTGGTGTCAATACTGCTGGACTATTTGAAGTGGAACAGGAAAGTTAGCTAGCTAGCTACCGAGACATTAGCATGCTGTTAGCGATTTTATGCTTGTTATGAAGAAAACAACCATGATACATTGAAACGACATTAAACTAAGATACTACAATGGTTATCAGAATTTTTAACAGAGAAAACACTTACATTTGTGGGTTTCTTTGGTCGCTCGCGCAGCCATCTTGTCGGTTTTTCTTGCTGTGCCTCTGAAAAACCTCCGTTTGGAGGGCCATGTAGCCCTAACACTTTGCCCTACCCTTCTATCTCAACAAAAATTGGGACACCCTAACCCTAGACGTGAACACGCAAAACAGAGGGCTAAGGTCTAAGTGGTAGCGGCAAGGGGTGAAATGGGATTGGGCCTACTTGCAACTTTACTCTCAGAGATAGATCTTCAAATAAATACAAACATGTATGCCACATCAACACAGAATGCAATGACACCATTCTTGTGTTGTTGTACTGTATCAGAAAAATCATTACTAAATAAGAACTGGAATGAAATTGAAACTGAAACTGAATAAGAGCATCAGAACTTAAATGCCTTTTTATGATAATGCAGATTCAGTGATTTGGGCCTCATCCTAAATGATGACATAGGTGGAGCAGTAAAACTTCTAGTGCATCTTTTCATTTCTGCATCAGAAAGTGGAGGAGAGATCTTGAACATTCTGTCTTCGGTTTGCTCCTACTCGACTTTTCCCTTTGCTGATGACACAGGGGAGGTTCAGAGTACCTTCTTGTTGGAGTTATACTCCTACGTTAGAGACTTTGAGTCTCAGACAGAAAGAAGTGTTCTTCCTGCATTAAAGCCCATTTATCAGTCGGCTCCTGCTACGTGGGTCATACACCTTTCAAAAGGTGTGACACCTTTGCTGCGTGAAACAATGCAATTCCAGGCAACGAAGAGACCAGTGGAGCTAAGGGGCTGGACAACTGATGAGAGTGAACTGAGGACCATTCTTCACTGTGTGCCTTACATGTTGGAGCTCAAGTAAGAATACTTTCATTACTTTTCAAGCTTAACTATGCCTGTAAAATGAACAGCCATATGTGCAGATCTACCATGTGAGCATCCGGGGGCCTGCATGCCAAAGGGCTTTAGAATGTAAAATCACACATTTTATTCAAAATCACTCACAGCATCACTTGCTAAATTGTTCCCCACCTCTCAGGGCCGTAGCCATGGAAGTACTCAGATTCATGCCTACTCAATCAAATGGAGAACAGCATTTTTTAGCTGTATAAACGATATTTGATTTGTTTTCTGTGAGTAGTGTTGTTTTGTGGCCAGTCAAAATCTTGACGCTCTCTGTCATTCCTGCATTTGCCAGGTAACCCTGTCATTTTATTTTCTTAGCCCTTCAATCATGGTTTAACATCTGTTTCTATCAGGCAGTAGAAGGTGTTGCTTTCTGCCCATTTTCAAATCTAAAAACATATTTAAAAACATCAGCTTATGTTAAAGCTTTTTTGCAAGTGGTTTACAGACTTGATACTTAACAGTACTCTTTACTAAAGTCCTAAATAGGCAATGTCAAAGTGAGAAAGCAAACCTGTCCAAAAAATCATCAAAGGTGAGATAAAGGTCCATAAATATTTTTCATGCCTATTGTGGCAATACGCTTTATTCTGGTGTGATTAACAGTCTAGGTTTTAAGTTTCTGCTATTCTTTTTCCTAAACATTGTTTTATATGTTTCAGTTAACTTATCTTGTTGTGTTAGGTCCTGATAAGAGCCACGAGAAGTAACATGAGGCCAGCCACGTCCTGGGCCCCCCAACCTCTTGCTGTTCCACAGCAAGCCCACCAGGTCTTTCTTCTTGCAGCACTTGTCGGCACTTGCAGAGCTCCAGACCAAAAAATTAGCAAAAGGAGCCACTGGCTTCTGAAAGAAAAAAAAATATCAGTACAAAAAAAAAGCTTTTTAACACACCATCAGCTCTGTGATTCCTTCCACCATGCCTGATTCTTGTCATACCTAGTATCATATGTCTTCAACGCCTCCAGACCCCCCTTTGGGGTTCGGCTGCCGGCCTCACACTGCTTCCCGTGGCTCTTGTCGCCACCTGGCACAGACGTACTTGGGATAAAATTGTAGCTGTAGCTATAAGGAAGGGTGTTGTTGGTTAAGCCTGCATTCTCATCAATGTGTACGTAAAGTTGCTGTTGTCTTGCTTTTTTCTTTGGTTTCTCATTAGTGCCTGCCTTTGCAAAAACATGTGAAACAAGAATTGCATTGTTTTTGTAATACAATGACATGGATCAAAAATGTTTATGTTGTCTAGAATCCATCAGTTACATTACTTTTATTGTAATACATTAATGAAAAGTTATCAATTTGTCAAATTTAACCTGATGTTTTAGTCAGGATTTATTTTCCTTTGTCCCTTAGTTTACTTTAATATCAGGTATTGTAGGCTGTTGCAGTGGTTGTTATTAATGAGTGTATGTATGCCTTGTGGGGGTGACTCCATTGAGAATATGCGCCTAGAGAAGGCCTTAGTGCATCAACATCCAGGGGCCCATGGCAGTTATAATCCAGCCTTGTTGTAGGTTATGTATTTTCTTTTGGTTCTGTTCTATCTAGATGCAGTGGGCGTTTTTTTCAGTCTGTGTGTGAGGTCCTCTCCACAGGCCAGAACTGGAACCCTGTGGAGGTCGCCAGTCTCCTGAGACCTCTAAACTTCACTGTGACATTAATGGAAATGCTACCCAGGCGCATTTGCAGTGCTGTAGGAAGAGTACTCAGCCAGGCTGATCCCAAAGAACGCCTCTCCCTTACTCTAATTCCACAAAGCATCTCATGTCAAGGAATGAATGCTCTATTCTCGGCGATTAGCAGGCTTCAAAAGCTAAGGTATGGTGCATGACATAAACATCTTTATTGACTGAGTTTGTAACTGAAGTGAGACTCCAGGTTATGTGAAGGCTATAAGAAATTTAGCTATGCCTTGTTTGGTCTATTGGTTAGGGCAAAAGGTGGATTTTGCTCAGGAACAGTAAAAATGTGTCTGTGCCATGCACCCGAACCCGGCCATAAGAGCAGGCAGGAAGGCAAGGCCGAACACAGAGAAAGGACTGTGGGAAGAGAAGGAGAACTGCGAGGAAATGGTGGACGGACCGGACTGGAGGTGGTGCTCCTCCTAGGCACCACCTCTGGTCCTGTAGCTGTCATCAGGGGCCGGGGGATTTGCACAGTGTTATAATTGCTTGATATACAGCTGTCATCAGGGGCCGGGGAATTGGCACAGTGTTATAATTGATTGAAAAATTGTCTGTTGGTTGTTTGGACTAGTGTCCATTTTTGGAAGGATGAAAATAATAAAAAAAATATGTTCATTTAAAGCTGTGTACATAAACAGGTGAGAAATTAGAAGAAAAAAAAAAAACAACATAAAGCTTCTTTGTAGGTGTGGCAGCCGAAGCAGCTTCAGTGCTTCCTGGCATAAATTGTACCAGTCTCTGCACTGTGCTACAGGGATGGAACCCCAATCTTCAAAAATATATTCCCACGGCTGGTGTTTTGATGATGATAGTGGAGATCATCAGATTCTCAGTAAACAAAAACCAAAAACCACAGTTTGATCACATGCTGCATTGACAGTTACCTGAGGAACAGTTCCCCTTCTGTTTTACATATCACACTAATGTATCAGCATCACACTCACTAAATGTGTGCTTTCAACCACATATTCCAACCTTACTTACTGATGTCTTTCCTATAGATATAGGTAGTCACTGTTCCTTTAAAAAACTCCAGCCATTTGACTAAATAAGAAAACCTCTGTCAACCAGTCTGAAGCTCCTAGTAATGAACCCTCTTTCAAACGGTCTGAAGCTCCTAAAAATTAACCCTCTTTCGACCATTCTAAAGCTCACGAATATGAAGCTTTTTAACCAATCTAAATCTCTCTTTCTTTTCAATTCATTCCATCTTAGTTCAAACTTAAGGTCAACTGGGCCAGCTCAACATTTTTATGCCACAGAGCAGGATAGGAAGTTAACTGCGTAGTTGTATCATGCAGTACATCTGTCTGGAAGCATCTGCACTCGTTCTGTTTCTAGACAGCTTCGTTCAGATTTTTCCTTTTATTTGCCACCCATCTATATCTATCTCAATACACATTACAGTTTATTTTAAAAAGTATGGACCATATTCACTCACTTTAATGTGTAAACATGTTGATTATTTTGGTTGTCTTACAGAATGAATGAATATGCAGCACTGAAAATTTCAAAGATGGCAAAAGTGATGAGGCAAAGATCAGTAACCATTGAGGAGGTCTCTTTGGCGTCAACCAGTCCAAATCCCACTGAAAGAACAATGTATAAGCTGATCAGCAATTTGGCCTCAATTATGAGAGTTTGGACAGTGAAAAGCTTGGATCTTACTAAATTTCCTGTAGAGGGTCATTTCCTCATTTCGCTGTTGTGCTTGAATGGATCTTTCCCTGTCAGGTCAGTCTGCAAATTCTTGCTACTCAAAAGACTCAAATGAGTTTAATTATAACTATAAATTTTAAACTAGGGCTGATGGAACCACGGGGCCTTGCCTGCTTTAACATTTTGCCTGCTTTAACATTTTACTACAAATGCCCATATCATTTCTGAAGCTTCAGCTGCTGTTAATAAAGGCACATGAGCAATGAAACAATAGCAAAGTGTGCTTGATTTTTGCTGTTGGATCGCATTTTTGTCAAAACATCAGTGACCGGATTGGTTACATTCAAATTGGTAAACCAATTATAAAGAGGCTGATATCAAGTGAAGTTCATTACAACTACTGATTGTAGACGATACACAACTCTATTTTCCATTTTTAAATATGAGAATATAAATGTGAGACAAACAGAGCATTTGCTTCCGTGCAACATTGGTGCAGACTTTAGACAATGAGCTGGATATGTAAACAGCCTGATGTTCTTCAGATATGGTAGCTAGAGTTTGCTACCCAAGGCTGAACCCAATGAAGGTTCAGGGTCAAAATAAACACCCTGTTCATTGAACAGATTCATAGAGATATTTTTTTAGCATGACATTACTGACTAAAACTACCTTTAGTCTGATTGCTTTGTCACTCAACCAGCTGCATTTTTAAATTTATTTATTTATTTATTTATTTTTGGAATACCACCACTTTCGAAGGTGAGGCGCCACCCCTGGTTTAAACCATGGAAACTGTCTCAATACTTGATGTTTACAAATTTTGTTACCTGTCATACATTTCTGTCATTGCTTGCAGTATAAGACATAGTATACAACAGTTACATGTATTTTGTTTTATACAATTTGTTTTATTTAATCTACATTTCTGTATTCTTGCAGATTGTCTGATAGAAATGTACAACAAATAGCTGAGATTGTTTATGAAACCCAGGATGACCTTGTAACTCGGTTCTTTTTGGAAAAGATTGGTGGAGACCTGAGCTCTTCGAGCTTGCCCTGGAACATATTACACTATCTGCTCCAAAAGGCCAGTTTGCCTTTGACGGTTGACCCTAAGAAGAACAGATTTGGCACTCTGAACATTCAGCATGTTCTTCCGCTTCTGCAAAGTATTCATTTCAATGGGTATGTAAAAAGGGAAAGAAATTGTGCAAAAGGTTTACCAAATGCCAAGTAAAGCCTATAAATATATATCAATCAACTATATTTCTGCGATCCCACTTCTACATATTAGTGCACAAATTAGTTACACAGTGTTGTGAAATTACAGTTACACTTGCTGTTAGTAGCTGGTGAACACACTCAAAAGGAGCACTGCTTAATAACTTGGTAACATATTTATAAACACTCTGTGGTTGGTCATTTCACATGTCAATCAATCCCATCCTATCACAATAATAAATTAACCTATTCTAAGAATGTATTAACATAAACTATTGACAAGTTTCGGATGAGATTTAGAATGGAGTAAACTTTTGTAATTCATATCTAAAAATCTATTTTGAGAGTTTTGCATGAAAGTAAGTACACATTTTTGTTAGATTTTTATTTTCATAGAAATCTATTATTTGAATCCTAAGAGTTCAAATGTAATAACTCTACTGTGCTTATCATGATTATAAGACTTCTGTTCAAGTTGATACTTGAATAGAAATGAGTAGTTCTCCTTTAAGAATTTGATGAGTTAATGTGCAAAAAAAGATAAACACTTCATTTAAAAAATGAGCTAACTGTCATGAGTTATTCATAACATACAGCACATTCTGAACCCTAAATGCATTTTGACACAAAGCCATTATTGTTCATTATTTTTAGCTGTTGTTATAATTTAAAGAACATTAAATATTGTGCTTAAAATAAAAATGTCTCCATTACATGGCTTTGTTTAACTCTGAAATGACCACTGGAGTTTTCTGTTTTAGATAAAAAAAAAATCAAAAAGTTTAGTTTTGTGAGTTATCTATATTTTACTGAATTATTTATTGATATTATTCACAATAAAAAGAAAAAAAAAGATTTATGAAAATTCATTAAAATGGAGATACCTTTTTGCAAATAAACTCTTCATTTGCAGTTTTAAAAAAAATACTCATGCAGTAGCACCTTTATGGATGAGAAACAAACATTGTGAGTGGAGTAGTGGTTTTAACTAAGCTGTTTGTATTTACAGAACTGACTCCCAGTTTGTGAGGAATGCTCTAAACGAGATCTATGCAAGCCGTGCTGGACACTTGGTGACAAATTTAGTAAGGAGTTCAGATAACTGGATCAACCTCAGTGAGCAAGAGCTGGAAAGTTATGACTGTGCTGCTCTGCGCTTTGCACTCCACTACAGTGATGATGTGAAGCTCAACCTCATAGGAACAGTCATTCCAAAGGAAGAAGCTGAAATCCTCCTCCAACTTCTGCACAGAGTGTCTGAGCTCAGGTTGTTCTTTTATCTGTAATTAAATCAAAATGTTGTCCTGACTGTTCTTACGGTAATAAAGCCCCAATTTTACGTCCTGTATGGTTGTGCAGCTGAAGACAAAAGGCAAAAATGCCACTTTTAAAACTGGATCAGAACCCATTATTAAGTGCTGTTGAAAGGTAACACATTGGTGAAGCTGTACCCCTCCCAAGTTTTTTGGTATATGTTAAAGGTGTTAGGTTTGTAAAGAGCATATATTTACAAAAAAGTTCTTAAGGGAAAATATTAAATATGGTGTTTTGCACTTTTTATCTTAGTTCAGGTCAAACTGAATTTACTAATCAATGCTTTCTGTTTTTATTGGCATTTAACGTACTGTTTAACATACATTTTTCTGGAAAAATTAATGGCCACACAGTAATTCACTGTGTACAAATTAACAAATATTTGTTTTCACAGGTGAGCTTTAGTGATCTTGTCTTACCAATAGTATTACAGAAATGTATTTTTGTAATCTGCTTTTGTGCATGTACTACATTATCTGTCATAATTGTGTACATATCTGGTTCAGAGTTGACAGACATCTGCTGCTGACTCTTCTCCATGCCTGTTCTGTTTCACGGGAGCAGAAGAAGGTTACCACAAGTCTCTTGAAGGTTCTGCAACACAAACTGGATTTCTCTCAGTCTTCGACGGTCAGTCTATTTGGGCAGGAAAGCAAGAAAACGCTGAGCCTCAGTGATATGGACTGTCGTTCCATCTCATCTGCCATTCAGTTATCAGCATGTGATACAGAGTTGATTATGTTTGATTGTGAGGCCAGTGACGGTGCGTTGCTTGAACTGTTTCCAGCTTTACATCACATACATCTCAGGTAAGATCTCCTTTTTTACAAAGAAATTGCTTAATGTTTTCCTACATGTCACAGGTTTGTGGAGACACATCACTCATGAAATACACGAGTATTGTGTATGCATTTGAAAGATTATAATGAAAGTTACACACTTTGTCACTGGTACAAAGCACATACAAATCATATCCACAACGTAGCTAAAGTATCATTACTCTGTAAGCATTACTCAAGTGAAAAAACATGCTAAAATGTGTGCGCTGCTGCAAGTTGATCTGTAAAGCCTGAAATAATCATTTAAAAGTCAGAGGTAGCGGGTCAGATTTGGCTTTGGAGGTTTCTCTGACCACATCTTACATCTTTAGTTGTACACACATGAGCCCAAAAAGAAGGTCTGGCTTGATCTTTAGGTCTCAAACACAAAATCAACATTATACTGATGAAGACATCATGACATAGTAGTTAATTTGCTCACATCCTCAGAAGACACGTCTTTCAACTAAGGTTTCACTAAGTTCTTTCCTTTTTTTTACGTTTTTCAACACACAATCATCAGGTTCATCTGCAGAGGTCCAAAAAAAAAAAACGTCTTGACTTGTAATGGAAGTAAATGTTACAAGTTTTTTTCCAAGTAATTTTTGACAATTTTTTTTGATCCATTTATCATGAAATTTTAACACAATCCAAAGGAAACTGGAATTTTTGCATGACAGTCCAAGCAAACTATGCAACTGGATAACATTTAAAAAAAAAAAGTTCAGCCTGATTTACTAACAGGATCTGCACAGGACTGTGTCTTTTAAATGAACAAAATAACACATTCTATCTATTTTGTGTGTTTGCCTTAATATGCAGTTTTGGCCATTTCTTGGGCCATTAAAAAAAGTATGTAGGCCAATTTGGTAGATGCATCTTCCAAACATGCTAATGTCCCACAATGTCATTACATCAGGCTGTAGCTTATTTGTGACAACCATACAGTCATCACTGCATTCAACACAGATTACAGCCTTACATTGAAAGAGAACTGTCGGATGTGCAAACAGGATTCAGGAAAAGCAGAGAAACAAGAGATACCATTTTGTTGTACGCTGGATCATTGAAAAAGCCAAGAAATAAGTCGTTTCCTTAAGAAGGAAGTCGACATGTCATTCAAAGTGCTACACAAATACAACCCCATTTCTAAAAAAGTTGGGACACTGTGCAAAATGTAAATAAAAACAAAATGCAATGATGTGCAAATTATTTAAACCCTATACATAATTGAAAGTAGTACAAAGACAACATATCAAAAGTTTAAACTGACACATTTTATTGTTTATTGAAAAATTTTGAATTTGATGCCAAGAACAAAGTTGTGATGGGGCAACAAAAGGCTGGTAAAGTTGTGTAATGCTAAAACACCTGGTGGTTATAACATGTCAGAACACAGGTGTTCAGCTTTCTTTGACTCAAAACATGTGTTTTGTGTTTGTTCTTCATGCAGCCTTGGCAAACCCCAACTCCTTCGGCTCATGTTGCTGACTCAGTATGTTGCGGAAGCAAGAGCTCTCGCCAGATCCCTCGGAAAAGAAATAGATCTCAGTCACACCACTCTGAACTCTTGTGCCTGCGAGGTATTGGGGTTGGTCCTGGAGCACTCTGAACACCTTAATCATCTCAACCTCAGTCACTGCAAACTCACTGATTCGTGTTTGAACTTGTTGCTTCCACATCTTCACAAAGTTCAGGAACTGGAGTAAGTTTATTACAGCAGATACAAGGCAAAACAGGCAGAACTGTTAGTTCTGGTCACACACAAAATTTAGGTGCATGCTACATTTTCACAACACTTTTTTGATGTTTTTAAACAGTCTAAGCAACAATGACATCACTGACACAGGGGCACAGAATCTACAGAACGTCTTAGTCAGGACGCAGACTGTGCAGTGAGTATACTCTCCTCCGCTGGTGAGTAAATGGTGGTTATGACCTGTCAAACATCAGACACTGAATGCTGGTGCTTTCTTTCTCCACAGCATTTTTAACAACCACATCACAGATATGCGATTTTTTATGAACAATCAGTACAATCCAGGTAAGCCAAAAAAAAAAAACACCAGTATCACACTTTAACCATAGCGAGAGCATAATGAGAGCATAAACTTGGCCATCCTTACTTTTTTAATTCTCTCCATAGTTGTCAAAGTTGACTTTGAGCCTGTATTTATGATGAAACCATCAACTGGGATCTTGACTAAGGTATGGAAAAAGGAAATGCTAAGACTTTTCCATTTAACAGAGAATATATTGAAAAAGATTTTTTGAATAATAAAATGTAATACAATTATTGCTTTTAACTGTATTAGCTTCCCTGCAACCCAGAAGGATAAGCAGTTTAGAAAATGTGTGTGTGTGTGTGTGTGTGTGTGTGTGTGTGTGTTAGCTTTACTGATGGTTTGACTTCACAAACTCATGGTTTTATCATTCACAGAAAATAACTACTGTAACCCTGTTTGACCCTGAGATATCTGTTCATGATGACGTAGTCATCTACAGGTAATAAATGAGATTAATTTAATGTTTTATCACAGCATGCATGTAATATTTTCTAACAACCTATTTTTCTGTATATTTTATTTTCCCTTAGAAAGAGCGATGTTTTATGTTAAGAATCCTTTACCTAACATTATTTACTGCATTAGTTAACATTACAAATCCATGAACCACTGGATAAATAACCATAAGTAACGTTAACAAAGATAATTATACTTTTTTTACTATTTTAATCACTACACTAATTAATTTGTTGCTGTTTTTTTTTTTTTACATCAATTAAGTTGATTGATTTAACAGTTACAAAATAATAAACGCTGTATTTGGATGGTACATTGTAGATGCTTTGTTGCCTTGCTTTTGACTTACATCGAACTAAGTGTCTATCCCTGAACCAAAGCACTCACTCTAACCCCATAACCTGTCCTAGTCTTAACCTCAACCCGAAACCCAACCCTAACCTTTCCCTCAACCCAAAACTTATTCCCAACCAGAACATGAACCCAAAGCCTAGTCTTAAAATTAATCTCAACCTAAAACCTAATCCTACTTTAACCTCAACCCAAAGCCAAATCCTTACCTTAACATCAACCCAAAATCTTATCTTAAAATTAACCTCAACCCAAAACTTAGTCTTAACCCCAGTTTCAACCCAAGACATAATCCTAAACACTACCTTAACCCAAAACTTAGTCGTAACCATTATCCCAACCTAAAACTTAATCCTGACCTTAACCTCAACCTAAAACCTAGTCCTAACCTTAACCTTAACCTCAACTCCAAACCTAATCCTAATCTTAAAATCAACCCAAAACTTAGTCTCAACCTTAACCTCAACCCAAAACCTAACCATAACCTTAACCTCAACCCAAAATTTATTCCCAACCTTAATCTCAACCCAAAACCTAATCCTGACCTTAACCTCAACCCAAAACTTTACTCTAACCTTAACCTTAACCCAAAATTTATCCCCAACCTTAAGATCAACCCAAAATTTACTCCCAACCTTAACCTCAAGCCAAAACGTTGTCATGAACCTTAATCTCAATCCTAAATTTAACCCTAACTATAATCTCAACCCTGAATTTACTCTCAACCTTAATATCAACTCAAAACATCATCTTGAACCTTAATCTCAATCCAAAACCTAATCCTCACCTTAATCTCAACCCAAAATATAGCCTTATTTTTAACCTTAACCTTAACTCAAAACCTAGCCCTAAACTTAACCCCAACCCAAACTTACTACAAACCTTTATCTCAACCCATTCTTTAACCCTAACCTTGACCTCAACACAAAACCTAGTCTTAACCTTTATCTCAACTCAAAACCAGACCTTAACCTTAACCCAAAACCTAACCCTAACATTAACCTCAACCTACATATTGTCCCAACCCTAACCAGAACCTAGTCTTAATCCAGAACCTAGTCTTAACCCTAACCTCAACCCAGAATGGAACCCTGACCTTAACCTCAAGTCAAAACCTAGTTCTAACATTTACCGCAACCCAAAACCTGGCACTAACACGTATCCTAAACCTAACACTCACTCTAATTCTAACCATTCTAAGTTTATTAAACTTGTTGTTTGATGCAAAGAATTTTGCTAACATAAATTTTGTGTTTGTAGTTAATGTAAACTTATACACCAAATAATATTCATTAAGGGAATTTCTATGTAAATTGTGACCACTGGAGGCAACCCTGAACCTGCGGCTGTTTTCTTAATGATGCAATTCAGAATCAGGATTTCATATCCTTGTTCACGACATACAATAGTTTCAAATTTTTCTTTTTTTCAGATTTGAATGTGAAATGGGGGGAGAGTTCCAGTGCAGAGCAACAGAACTTGTATTTGGCATGAAGGGTAGAGGATGTGTAGAGTACAGAGTGGTTCACTGGGACATGGGCTGCTTTGCAAAAAACAGCTATGAACCTGCTGGACCCCTGTATGATATAAAAACTACTGTAGGGGAAATCTACCTACTCCATCTCCCACACTGTGAAGCAGAGGGTGAGACACCAGACAACACTAGCTGTATATCTGACATGGTCTGTAGTATTTAAGCGTAGATATATGGTGATGTAGTAGTGGAGATAAATACCTGGGAAAATGCCTTGTTCTGACGCATCTGCTCATCTTGTAGTTACACATATTAAATGTCAAATCCAGCTGATAATGTTTCCAACTTAACTCCTTTCATAACAGCTGATGCATTAGGAGACATTTCTGTGGTTCATATGCATGATGATGTTACGGAGATCCTGACGCCAGTGCAGATGACCTCCACTCATGTGGCTGTTCGCATCAATGGTCTCTCTACTTTTGGGATAGTTCGCAAAAAAGGATGTATGACCCGTTATGTCCGGGGCCAAGTTCTGCTTTTCCTTGACCAGATCAATAGAGTTGAGCAGAGACTCTGGGTGTTCCTTCTGGCCAGAAATGTCTCGGCCACTGAGGTAATTTAATTCTGACCCAATATTTGGATGTTTTCTGTTAGTGTGTCTTTAGCTTCACTTCACTTTTTCTTTCTGTACAGGTAAAGAAGCAGCATCAGGAGTTCACACCCATCAAAACCAGTTCAGACTGTATTTTAAGACAAAAGGGGAAATATTGCTTGAGTTCCAGTCTCAAGAAATACAAGGTTCAGCCCAAGGTGAACCTAAAACTTTGATTCAAGTGAAAAATACAGTGATTTTGTATTAAATTATAATAATGTAACAATGAATGTGTTATGTATTTGTTTTCCATTTTCATCAACATATGTTGTAAAATTAAATTTTTTTAATGAATTTCACACATCTACCTTATCAGGACCCTTGCAGCATTGTTGATAGGAATTGTTTAAGACTTTATCTATTTGACTGCACCTGTCAAAAAAGGGTTTTTCATAAACTCAAAAGCATATCCAGTCATAAATATGTTTCTAGGGTGACCTACAGGAGCCCAGATGTGCTCATTGTGCTGGTTTTTTGACTCCCTTCTAGACCTACGTTTTCCATAATGCAAGTGATCCAGACCATCACTCTGCATTTGAGCTCTTCTTTGGCAGTGAAGTGTCTGAACTCCGAGTGAGGATTCATGAAAAACTGAGCCCTAAAAGAGAAATAACCAAGTGGAATCGACGAGTGATTCTCAAATGTAACGGTAAGATGTTACTGGAGATTGGGCCTCATTATGAAAGTAGGTACAAATCACCCTAAGAGTGTCATATATCATCTCTGTTGGAGCAAAACCTTGTATCCCCAGAAAGGTAGCTTTACAGGAGAAGAAAAATATATATTCCTAAGTTTTAATGGAGAAATTATTTATTCCAAGAAATTCTGGGCCATCTCTATCTAAATATGTAGATTGAACTGCTAACTGTGTAGGTGAAAGTTTAATTCGTTTAATAATAGGTGCCCCAGCCATTCTTTAAATATCTTGTAATTTATCATATATATATATATACTGTGAATAATTATCCTTAAACATTCTACCTTAATATCTCCGTGTTAAAGCATAATGTCACCATAAAGTGATTAAATGAACAAATGTTCTAAAAAGAATTTTAAAAAGTTTCTGTGTCTTTTCTGTTAATGTTACTGGGTTAGAAAAATAAAAAATAAACTACTACAAAATTACACCAGTTTACAATACATGACAAAAATGTATTTCATATTGTTCTACTTTGTGTCTCTTTAGATAATCGTGCATATAAAATCAAAACTGAGGATGGAACCATTACAAAAGGTAAGCAGCAACTAGGTTGTTGTGGAAGATTTAGGATAGTATAGTCAGTGTTTACCATGTGAGTTCATCTTGTATAATGAAAAGCAATGATACCCCTATAAATCATGCATACATACATACATACATACACATTGAAATTGTTTTGTAGCTCATTTAAAATGAATCTTCATAAAAGACTACAAATTATTACACAAAAAAGTGACAAATAAATTGAACCTGAATGTTTATGGCCTCAAATGCTTTTCCCTGCCCCTGTCTCTAGTGGAATCTCTGTTAATACTGTAATCTGTGATCAGTCACTCTTTACAGAACTACCTCTCTGTGTGTTTTGCTCTCTTTGAGTTGAACAGCTGCCTATCCTGTGCGTCTGATGCTGTTGCTTCTTCTGCCTTGATTGGGTGCCCATTGCTCGCCAGCCTTCTGGACTGGCTTGACCATCATTTGGCTTCATACTGTACAACGCTGTGCAAACTTCACCCTCATGAACTGACCTTCCCAAAGATGTTGCTGCTGCTGCTGCTGCATAAAGTAAAACTAATCTAATTAACCATTGCTCCACCTGTTTTCCCCGTTTTGTACTGTAATACTTTATACTAACACTGTTTGCTATCCAGTGTCAACCAGAGGAGGATGGGTTCCCCTTTTAAGTATTGGTTCCTCTGAAGGTTTCTTCCTCCCGCTCTTAGGGAGTTTTTCCTCTGTGGGGGCCTGGACCCGGATTTTTCTGTAAAGCTGCTTTGTGACAACACCTGTTGTAAAAAGCATTATATAAATAAACTTTGCTTGCTTGCTTGCTTGAATATACAGTACAGCTGCAACTGTGTTTGTGAATGTTGTTTTTAACATTACAGGAGTACTGTAAGTACTGTAAGGAAAACAAGATTGGACTGAAAATACACTAGCTTGTACTTTTGACAACAGTAGAAAAAAACATTTTTTGGATGGAAAATTAATCAATCCATATGTAACATATACTTTGTTCCATAAGCCTAATGCTAATCTTTGATTCCTAGGAAATTCATTGCTAACAGAGAAAAAATGGAGGTCATCTTTATCTGATTTGCTTGATGAGCTACACGAAGAAGAGCTGAAGAAAATGAAGTCTTATATGAGGCATTACACAGATTTTGCACCCATACCTAAAGGTAAACTGGAGAAAAAGGAGAGACATGAACTTGTGGATCTGATGGTAGAAACTTGGGGCTTCCAGCCATCCGTCCAGGCTGTTGCGTGCATTATGAGGAGGCTACCGCGCAATGACAATGCCGTGACCTCAATACTGAAGCCTTACCAGATACAGTTTGGTTTGATCACATAGCTAGAAAACACATAGACTTTTGATAAGCAACTCAGAAATGACAACTGTCAAGGATGGGTTTGTATTTACTGTAAATTTGTATTTACTGTAAAATACTGTAAAAAAGGATGGAGTACTGTACCATAAGGTGTGTGTAAATGAATAGCACAGACCAGATCAATGTCATTTTTTTCAGGTGCCTAAAACATTTGTGCAGTACTGTGTTTGTTTTTCTTTTTTGATGGTTGTAAGAAATGAATAACTTATATTTAGTAGCAGTTTTGGTGGTCTCTGACTCTGAAGTAAAGAGTGGTCTCTGGCTTTTGCACAGTACTGTACAATTACTAATAAATACCTTAACTATAAACACAACAATATAAACTACAGAATAAATGGGGAAATGACACACACATACATACACCTAAACACTACCTGATCTGTGCCCCCTGCCTGATTAGCATCATCTGTATTCATTGGTGGAAAATAACAACTTACATTACATAACTCTGTACTTTTCCCCATAACAGTACTTTCTGAAGAACATTTAAACCACAGTACTTTAGTTAATTTTTAAATAAGCAACTTTTTATTTCACTATTTTTTAATAAAGTTACAATGTAGAAATAAACTATGAGAGTGACAGCTAATGAACCAAATAGAAGAAAGTCTGGTTAAATTTAAAAGAGTCAATTCTGAAAACCAATCAAAACAGAAAATCTCCTAAAAACACTGCAGCCCTGATGAGTTCAGAGACATCAAGTTCAACGGAGAAGGAAAGAGGAGAATGTTACTAAGAGGAAGCAGCTGTTAGTTGATTGCCGAACTAATTCTAGCTAAACCTCTACTGTGTACTATTTTCTTCTGACGTTGTTGTAGAATAAAATGGCAGCTATTTATTTAAATTAAAAGCTGTTGTGTCTTTTCTTGCAAGTGTCTGTTAGCTGGCTTCTTTAGTTAACATTGGTGTAATCTGTAAGGTTTACATGTATAAAATTCAGTTTTGTCACAGGTGGTGATACAGGAAATCTAGTATAATTCACTGTACATGGGCAAAACAGAAATCATCACACATGAATAATAGCCATTAGAGACATCAGGGCATCAATCATATAGAGTCTGTATTATTCAGATCATGATTCAGTCTGATTGTAGAAGAAACTGTACAATTACAGTGCTTGGACAGTCACCTTCTGAAAAATACATCTGCAAAAATATGTTGACTCCTTAATCTCTCCTTATACACCTCATCATCCAAAACTTTGTCAGTTCATCACAGAACACAGCCCAAAATTTGTCTTTTAATATTTATTAAGCTTCATTTTTAAAATAATATTTGATTTGTTTTCTGTGAGCACTGACGCTCACTGACACTCAAACTCATTATGATTTCCTCCAAGCTTTGCCTTATTTTCTCAGCCGTCCAATCACTGCTTAACAACTGTTATCTGCTATTGCCTCAAGCATTCAGTTTGTTCTAACTAGCACAGTGATCTAAGAGGTAGTTTCAGAACGGTTTTATGAGATTCAAAGTGGAAACAGTGACGAGAATACTAATCAGCAGTTTCGTAGCTGACCTCAGAACAGCTGTGGTTTGACCATAGACCTGACTGCCTGCTATGTTCAGCTCTGTACAACAACTAATGTTACCAAGAGTGACTTTGACTTGTACAGGTATGCAACACACATACTGCAGGCTAACATACATTATAGCTATTTGGACATTAAGGCCTTTCGTCAGTGTTTGAGTTTGAAGCTCCAGCTGCTGTCAAATGTACCTAGGGACATGTAAAAGTGAGAGCAAATCCCAGATAGTGTGTATATAATTTTCTACTCATTTACAATACCAAAACGGACTGTATTAAAATATCGAATCAACCAAATTCAGTAATCAAAGGTAAGACATGAATGGTCCACAAACATGTTATGCCAGCCATGGAAATGTGCTGTGTTATTTTCCCTTGTCTTTGTAAATCTCAGCTGTGCGATTTGAACCTAAAAAGATTTACTTGCCAAAAGTTGTTCCTGTGGTGAGCTTGCACATACTGCTTCTCTGTTTTGCTTTAGAGTATACAAAAGGTTTACATTATAGTAGAAATGAGGCCAAAGTATGATCATGTTTGGGATGATAAAATAAACAAAAGAATCAAATCTGAGGTTTATATTGCCAAATAGTGTATTTACTGTTTCCACCGTCATCTGCTGCCCAAGCAGGGAAATATCGTGGTGAAGATGCTTGATCACATGGCTAGCGTCACATGTATCAGGAAGCACATTCTAGCCTTCACACTCCCAGCTTGGTAACAATGTATGAGGGGGAGACCAACCTCAGTTTACATATATATATGTATATATATATATATATATTAGGGGTGGGAATCTCTAGGCACGATTCAGAGGGCTGCGATGCGATTATAAAACGATTATCGATGCATCTCGATGCATCTTATTTTTCTATACAGCATTTCTGTTTTCTTACTGTCTGAGGACTTGGTAATGTTAAAGTAAAGTATTTGTAATGATCCATAATGAATTTACTTCCAATATCTTTTATTAATAAATCAAATGGAAACGATGTGGCAAGTGAACTGGAAGGCTCTCATTCACTGCTCCTGATTGGAGTACATGAGACGCTGCTGCCACTCATCTGCGATAAAACGCGCAGTTACGGTGAAATAAGATCCAGTGGTAACGGATGTCCACACAGCACGTTACAGCCGCCCTGCCCGCTTTCTTTAGTGATTTTATCACTTCGGTTTTGGTCTCGTTGCAGAGACGGGAGGAGGGGGCGGTCGCTGTGTCAGTCAAATATCTTCGAGACGGGTCGTGTGCAACATAGCGAGAAAGCCCTGTTTCGCAACGACTCCGCAGACTGCAGGTCGCATAGCAACGACGCGTTATTCGCATTCATAAGCAGCGCAGTTGGTTTCCTGGTACGTTAAATCTGCAACAAGAGACTGTCACACACTAAAAAGTGGCGAAGCTGAAGTCAGATTCTTTTTTGAATTCTCCCGTTCCACCTTAAATGGTGCCGCATTTACATTCGGCGCCTCAGTCAGAATTTAAGGTGGAACGGAAAAATTCGAGCAAGAAGCTGGAGAATAAGAAGCGACTATAGCCTCGTAAAACAATCGAACTTTGAGACAATTTACAATAAGCTGCTGTACTTTTGAAGAAAAGTTTTCTGGCGGAGATGGGAGGAAAGCGGCTAAAGCTAAAGCTTAAAGCAGAGCGAAGTAAATCTGCGCTCTCGTTTATATTGTTTAGCCTATACTAGGACATTAACACATACTGAGACATACTGGACATTAAATGTTGTGGCTCCCAAGGTGGTTTGATTTATGTTAAAGGACAAAATGGCTCTTCTGATCATTAGTGTTGTGACTCCTGACCTAACCTGGCTTTAATGCAGAGGGAGCCAGTCGGATTTCTCACTCACCCAGTAGTGTTTTTGTTATGTGCCGCAACAGACTGTCCGGGCGCTGCATTTACCCACTTCCGCCTTTGCGTTCTGTGAACATTACGTTATAAATTAAATATTTACAAAATCGATTTTTGACATTCGTGAATCGATTCAGAATCGTTCACGTCCGCATCGCGATGCATCTAAGAATCGATTTTTTTCCCGCACCCCAAATATTATATATATATATATATATATATATATATATATATATATATATATATATATGGAGTTTACAGTGAAATAGGAGGAGGAAGTATTATGGCCCACATATACAAACCTGATGAGGAGGAACTGGCGCAGCAACTAAAATTTGTTCAAACTGTGGTCTCACAGTAAAAAGACTATGGCTGTCTCAAACCCTAACCGCTACATTTCAAACTGTGAAAATGACACTTCTAGCTTTGATGTTGGAATTTTTACATTTATGGGTTTAATTTTTAAGTAATAATTAAAAAAAAACTGTATTTTAAAAAATCCTGTGCCACATTTTTATGTCACTACCAAAACACAAAGGAGCGATTGCTCTGTCATTGCCTTAGCAGCAGTTTAGTCTCGCTTAGGTTTGGCTAAACTGGTCAGTTCATAGGTTTAAAACATAGCAGAGCATTAATTTAAACATGATTGCTCTGTCAATACAAGCATGAGTCTACCTGATCCATCAGAAAACCTCCACTAAACCAGATGTGCTGTCAAATTGCATCACAATCAGCCCAACTAAAACAAAACACTGCATAATAAAGACGTGTTGCTATATAAAAGCTTTCAAATTTGTTAGTTGACATATTATGATAAGTATAACCTAACACAGCAATGTCAATTATACTTAACACTGGGCCTCACTGTGTACAGGGCTGTGTCTTTTACTTCTATAATGCTACTCATAATTTAAAAGATACAGTGGAGTGCAGCTCAGTGAGTGAGGTGACCCTTGGCAGCAGCACCTGTTGATGCCTCTCTAAAAGGCCCACTTTACTCAAGGAGCTACAATTCAACATTGCTGCACTGAAACGACTTTCTGTGTCTTGAACTGCAAACCAGCTTACAGAGGGCAAACAACTTCATTGTCATTTTGACTTGTTCGGCCTGGCTAGTACACTGTTTTTCTTTAAGAAGGTATCTGGGCATAAGTATGGAATATTAAAATATCTGAGCTGAAAATGCACTTCAATTATAATCATTTTAGCCTTAAATCTCAGAAAACCCATGTCCTTAGCAGGTTTAAGACAAACCTTAGTTGAACTTGGTATACAGCACCATCTGGTGGCAGATGTGGGAATTTTTAAATGACACAGCAATTGAGTTTAGGTTAATGGAGTTTTCAATGGAGTTTAAGAACCCATGTGATTCACTCAGGTTAAAGGTGCCATAGAATGGAAAACTGTATTTATATTTGCGTAGTTGAATAAGGAGAGCTGAGTACATAGAACTGACATACCGTCAACCTCAATCACTGTTGTCTCCTCCTTGCAAAAGAAAGGGTGGTAAAATGGGCCAATTCCAAAATCCTAAACTGTCACATAACAGTCATTAATATTTATGGATGATGAGATGAAATTCTCCTCCAGTATCTCCTGGTACATCGCTCCATTTATGTTTTCTTTAATGATGTGTGGTGCCCTATTGCTGTTCTATTTTCGTTTTGTCTGATGAGAGTACATTGTTCCAGAACTGTTCTGATTTGTCTAAATGCTCATTTATACATTTAGGTGTGCATTTCTGTACTTCTTTCTTTAGCAGATGAGTTTTGGGTGGGGTGGAGGAGGTGGAAATGATAGTGGTGTAGTTTATTGCTTATTGTTCTCTCTAACTGTTGTTCCTACTGCTTTCAGGTCGTTCTATAACTTTTCCAAGTTTCTGCCGGCTTCTGTCTTATATTCCTGATCATTAGTCTGAGAGAAATCTTGCAGGGCACACCTGTCCACGAACTTCCACAAACTTTACAGTTGCATATTATTAAATCAGTTGTACTAACAGAGATGTTTAAGGTCTTTATCAGGGGTCTGTAGCTTTTTCAATTTCAGTCTGATGTAATATGTCATCACTGAGAACTTCTTGGTTTATAATTTTTTTTTATAATGTTTTCAAATACATATTTTTAGTTAATATTTATAAGTATGCTGTCAAAAGACATTATGTGTGTGTGTTTAAATGTGAATGCATATTAAGCAACAAAAACAAAGTAGCAGGAAGGAGCAAGACAGGAAATGAGAAGTTTAACATGCAGACAAAAATATACTCTCTCTCTCTGTCTCTCTGTCTCTCTCTCTCCTCTCTCTCTCTCTCTCTCTGTCTCTGTCTGTCAGTCTGTCTGTCTCTCTCTCTCTCTCTCTCTCTCTCTCTCTGTCTGTCTGTCTCTCTCTCTCTCAGGAAGTTATGAGTGTTGAACACAGCATTCAGTCAGTCAGTCATTACGGGGACAGTATGGAGTTCAGGTCACTCTCTGTGATACTCTGTGAGTAAATGTTCTCTTTATGTCTTCAGCAGAGTGAGAGCTGCTGTATGAAGGTACTAATATTTAATCTGAGTGGCACTAAAACATGTTTGTGGTTAATGTTAAAGTAGAAGTTCTATGTTTTATAGTGTTCTGACTGGTGTGCTCTCTCTGAGCCCACAATTCAGCAGTAATATCTGCTGTTTCATATTTGGCTGATTAGCAGGCGTTCAAGCTCACCTTTACAAATGTGTTTCTTTTCACTGTGATCTTTAAAGCACCATGCACTGCAACTGAAAAGCACTGCTATAGATCAGAGACCAGGCTGTATGTACTTCAAAACTTCATTTGTAATTCATTGTATGTTCAGTATCATCCGTTATACATGATACTACATGATACTTTGACCACCAGAGGACCACATTCAAAAGAGAGAAATTTGGTTATTTTTGATATGGCTAACTTCATCATATAAATGACAAGAATTATGAGAAGCACAGTGGTCTAAAGGAATGTGTAACAGCTTTATGAAAAGGTCATGGTGGAAGATATTATTCAGACGTATTAATGCAATATATTTATTTCACCTGGATTTGTTTTATTTACTAATTCAAATACAGTCTGGTGAAGTGAAACATTATCTTTCACCTTTTATTCTGAATCTGAAATTGTTGCCCATGCAGATTCTATAAGGAAATTAATAATTTCAGTGTTAACCATGTTCTTTGTTTCTCATCTGTTGTTTAGTGTTGATTTCACCCCTCCAAGCTGGGCATGCTCAAGGTGATTTCTATACTGTGTGCTTGTTTGATTTGTGTGGGAGCTGCAATGTTGTCTTGTCGAATTTAAGGTCTGTATAGTGACAGATGTGTGTTTTTTACAGTGGGGTATAAACCCTTTCTAAGTGTGGAGCCTGATTGGTTACAAATATTCACCGGAGAGACCGTCACACTCACATGTACCATTCCAGGATGGAGTGTAAATGACTGGATGTATGACTGGTACCAAAATAACATTCAAATCGACAACCCTGATGAAAACTATTACATCATAAGAGACATAAATGTCCATCAGAGTTCACAATACCACTGTTGTTGTTTTCATAAAAGTGGCCAGGAATTGCTTCGATGTACTGATGAAGTAACTGTCAATGTGATAGGTACATTTCTGGCTCAAATTCCTGTAAAATGTTTTGTTATACATAAGTACAAGGCACGCTTCCACTTTCGAAGCATCTCTAATAACTGTGTAATTACACATTAACAATACATGCAACAACATTGTAAGTACTGTAGGACCAGTTGTAACAGCATATTTGATCTAATATAATAACAAATGTGTGAAAGGGTGAGGGGAGATACTAGAGAGTACTACTCTTATTTCATTGTTAAGTTTTTGATGAAACCAGGTGGTTTTGAAACACCTGGAGGAACGTCGGCCATCGTATCTAGGTAGATGCAGCTAAGTGAGCTATTGGTTCTATTGGTTAAGACTTCAAGATTAATTATATAGGATTATATTGATTTCCAATAGGTGGGGCCAGTATAATGAGGAAATCTGACACCCTAGGCCTTCTGGAACTGCTGATACATTACTGACTGATTATGAGAGGCAGTCTAATCAGTGGGCTGTTAGAAATGGAAACAAACAGCAGCTTTATAGCAGGCCTCTCTACTCAAAGTCACTTAAAGTACAGCATGAATGTGTTTTTAGAGGCTTCAACTGTCTGTGTTTAATCCAGAACTTGCAAAAAAAAATTCATGGGAATCGCCATTAGCTTAATGCCAGCAAAATGCAACAATCCCAAAGGGATGCTAGCAGAAATTAGCATTATGACGTTTTCCATCATGTTTTCACAGAGTATTCAAACTCATAGCCAGAATTGAAGGCTTGACTTTAATAGTCACAGTTCACCATTAGTATTTTCATTTGTATAGACTGCTGTTTAGCCAACAAGACTTTCCTATTTGTAACAGGCAGTGTGCAGTGACCTGCGTTATGAAAGTGCTTGCACTGCATCTGCACAGGCAAAGCCAACTTTACTAATATCTAAGATATTCTTGTGTAATTACAAAAGTAAAAATGGAAGTTGATTCACATGTGTATATAATGTGAATAATATGTACTATTGCAACCTATCTGTAATTGTGGATACATCAGCTGTAGTTGTATACATTGTTAATGTGTAACTACACAGTTTTTAGTGACAATACGAAGTGGGACCCAAAACACTTTATTCATTTACACTGTAATTTCCTAGAGCAGTGTGTGATTGACAGTTTTACAATAATATTTATGTGATGTAATTGTACAGAGAGACCAAAAGCTTCACTGATCCTGGTGCCTACTGGACAGATGTTTACTGGAGAGAAAGTAACTCTCAGATGTGACATACAAGGACACACAGACACTGAGTGGAGCTACAGCTGGTATGAAGATGGTGACAGTAACCGTCCAGTTCATTCTTCTGATAATAAAAAAGAATATTCATTCAGTGTTGTAGAGTCTGACAGTGGTAAATACACCTGTAGAGGAGAGAGGAGGAGTGACTCTCAGAGATCAGAGATCAGTAATGCGGTTACACTGACTGTATCAGGTGAGTGTGTTACTGTTTTTTTCACCCTAACATCCAGTGTAGATAATGAGGCCATCACGGTCAAAGAGACGCTTCATTTCCAACAGCAGAAAAACCTGTGTCTGCATGAACAGCACTGAACTGAAATATCTTGTTAGCATGAGATTATTTTGTGACATTTTCATGTTATTATTTTTGTTTCATTTTTCTTCATTGATTAATTTGTAACAATTTTAGTATCAGAGAGCACCCTTTATTTGTTTAATTTCCAGTCTAAATAGCCATTAAGAATACATAAGAAAGGTGATTTTTAGTGTTTGGAAAAAGCAGAAAATGTACATTGAACAGAATTTTACACAGATGTCTCAGCCAAATTCTCAGTATGTTAGTGAGTCCACCCATTCTACAACCCCATTTTCAAAAAAGTTGGGACACTGTTAAAATTGTAAATAAAAACAAATTGCAATGATGTGCAAATCAATTAAACCCTATATTTCATTTAAAATGCTTCGAAGACAAAACTGAGAAATTTTATTGTTTTTTGAAAAATATATTCCTATTTTGAATTTGATGCCAACAGCGAAAAGGCTTGTAAAGTTGTATGCAAGGGACAAGGCCAAAAACCAGTATTTGCTGGCCATGATCTTTGGACCTTCAGATGGCACTGCATTAAAAACAGATGATAATTCTGCAGTGGTAGTCACTGCATGGACAGGGAAACTTCTGAAAAACCCTGTCTGTGAAAACAATTCATAACTGCATCAACAAATGCTAATTAAAACTCTTAAACGCAAAGAAGAAACCACATATAAACAGGACCCAGAAATGCCACCACCTTCTCTGGGCCTGAGCCCATTTAAAATGGACTGAGGGGAAGTGGAAAAGTGTCCTGTGGTCCAACAAATCAACATGTTATCAGTGCACAGTTCAAAAGCCAGTATTCATGATGGTATCGGGGTGCATTAGTGTACATGGCATGGGTGATCTGTGAAGACACCATTAATGCTGAACCATATATACATGTTTTGGCAAAATATGCTGCCATCCAGATGACGTCTTCTTCAGAGAAGGCCTTGATTTTTTCAGCAAGACAATGTCAAACCACATTCTGCATGTATTACAGCAGCATGACTCCGTATTAAAAGAATCCGGGTGCTAAACTGACCTGGCTGCAGTCCAGACCTGTCACCCACTGAGAACATTTTGTACATTATGAAATTAAAAATATGACAAAGGAGACCCTGAACTGTTGAGCAGCTGAAGTCCTATGCTAAGTAAAAATTGGAAAACGTTTCACTCTTAAAACTACAGCAGTCGGTCACCTCAGTTCCCAAACGCTTATAGAGTGTTGTTAAAAGAAGAGGTGATGAAACACAGTGGTAAACATGCCCCATCCCAACTTTTCTGGAATGTGTTGTTGGCATCAAATTCAAAATTGGGCATATATTTTTCAAAAAACAATAAAATTTCTCAGTTTCAACATTTGATATGTCGTCTTTGTGCTATTGTCAATGAAATATAGGGCTTAAATGTTTTGCACATCATTGAATTTTGTCTTTATTTACATTTTGCACAGCATCCCAACGTTTTTGGAAATGGGGTTGTATTTATTACAGCCTTCATTCTTTTCAGGAGACTTTTCAGGAGATTCTTTTCGTTTTTTTATCTACAGGGATGTTTTTACACACCTCTAAAGTTCAGTCTTAGAAAGTTGGTCGCATTTGGATTCTCTCTATCTAAGTAACCCCAATTATAGGTTTAGACTCATCATTCTTCAAAAACTTATTTCTGTAATGGCTTCTTGACAGCTAAACCAACACAGACCCATGGCATTGAGTTATCTGCTTGATATAAACATCTGCGTATTTTCTCAGATCAGTAGCAAGAGTGGAGCTATTTTAGATGCACATGAAAAAGAAATTTGCAGAGTGTGTTTAGGTAGTTGCTTATATGAATGTTGTATGAAAAGGACACAGCTGTAACTGGCTGGTTTTAAGGTAAGAGGGATGGATAAGTTAACATGGAAGTAAGATGCACAAAAGTAAGGAGTGGACAAATTAAATGCCGACAGCCCAACAGTTTTGAGCTTTTATTATTAAGCGTAAAATACATGATATTAATGTGGATTCTTTTTCATATATGATTATTGAATGCTGATACACATAGGGATAAGCTTTTTAAAGGTTTAAGAAGTTTTGGATTTTACTGCACAATAGCATTTACAAGATGATATATATTCTCTAAATAAGTAATGAATGAAAATGAAAATAAATTGCACATTCAGTATTTAGTGTGGAATAGAATAATATTACATATTTATATATAAACTCCAATAAATGAACATATTAGATGTTTTAATGTGACTGTGTGTGTGTGGTGTGTGTGTGGTGTGTGTGTGTGTGTGCCAGGTGTGTCTAATTCAGGAGCTTCATTCTCAGTGTTCAGTCTGCTCAGTAGTTTAATGGCAGTGTCTCCGTATCTGCTGGTGTCCATCGTTCTGGGGATCAAATGTTGCAGAGCTAGAGGTAAGAACTCTTTCAGTGTGACTATAGATTACACATCATAAAAACACTAAGTATATTATTATAGAGATTGTTATAAATTGATAATCACAACTACATTTTACTTTAAGTGTGATTGGCAGGAGCAGAATTATTAGTTAAAGACCAATATTATATAATGTAACTGTAGTTTACTGTAAATCCCTACCCAGCTAGGCCTGTTACAAGCAGGACATTTAGTTTCATTGTCATATAAATAGTCACTGTTAACAGTTTAATCATATTCTTACAATAAACGTGTCTTCTGCTTTTATTCATTTGACCAGCTTATTACTTTTACAAAGTTTGGTAACACATTACTAGAACCCTGCTACATAACATTAACATAACCCCACCATAAACATGTCTTTTTCAGTAATATAACAGCGTCATGTTACCATTACCTATAACTGTCATGATAGTTGTCATAATGTCTGATGTCATGACACCCTGACTAGAGTACACAGCAAAAATCAACATGTGACATAAGCGATCATGACACCAAATACTATGACATCTGTAATGACAACTGGCACAACACCGTCATATTACCAGACAAAATCTGACAACTAATTGCAGCTTATGGCATCTGCCATGACATGTTAATGGCACAGTTATATCAGTGTTATGTAGCAGAGTTCAAGTGAAGTGTTTGAAGTGTGTGAAAAATATCTCACCACATTTCTTAAATGTGAAGTAAAAAAAAAAAAACAGTAAACAATAAAATGTCATTACAAACTGTAATTATGCCTTTATACCAGCAGAGGACAGTGTAATATTTTTAATCTGTGTTTTTGTTTACTTTTCTTGCGGCTCAGACCGATTAAGATTAAAGTCAGTATGCGGTCACAGAGGAGTAAGAATCTAAAGGACAACCTGAATGTAGAATGACAGCCGTCTGATTTCTTTAAGTGCTTTCAAATGAGATTTAGAAGTTGATCATTATTTAGCTTTAATCATTTTCCAGTAATATTTTAAAGTTGATGTAGGAAGAAATCTGAAAAACGCTTGACGGTATGATGCCAGTATTTCTACAAATTTTATTTAATCTGAGAAAACTTTTTCTTTTGTAAATATTTGTTTCAAAATATTTTGTTTTATATTTTGTTTTTTTTCTTGTAAAAAATATAGATATGTTGTACACAATATGAGTTACATAGGTTTTCTACATTTCTTTGGGCATTTCTGTTACTCATTGTACTCACTGTATTACATTAAATAAAAACATTAATTTAAAATAAAGCAGATACTGTTTTTGATTTTCCGCACATGACAAAATATTGTCTCAATGTGGTTCAAAATAAAGAAAACAGAAAAACTGCACTCGGTATGTTCTAAACAGTCTTTTCATTATTTTGTGGGGATCACCTTGATTTCCAGGCAGTGATTTATAGTCTAGTTTGTGCATTTTGGCTGCTCCTTCAGTTACTCAGCAAGCACTTTGAATGTCTGGTTCCTGTCACCACCACTGTGAACTGCTCTGTAAGTGTTTCTAAAATAGCCCATTTCACATCAAACCACTCTGAACTTTATGTACATTCCTACCATTGATCTATGCAGATTTTTTTTTGTAAAGTCAGTAGAAGTCATATTTTTCAGTGCTCATTAATTTGTGTACAATACATTGTCATCCTTTGTGTTTGTCTTTGTGGGGCTGCCCTGGTGGGAAGTCTAACAATGAGGTGACCTGTGTATTGAAAATGACTATTTTCCCAATATATTTTGTGAGATTTACCCATTTAGTTTTTTTTTCGCCCACAAGTATTACTAGGCAGTCTTAACTTCATATCTGTATCAATATAAATGATTTTAACACTCAAGGCTACCACACATAAAACATCACATTGCACAGCATCCAAAATTTTGAAATCATTGTTTTTAATGAATGTGTGCAATTGATTTCCAGCACTGTTCAACTTTTCATCTTGTATCTTTCAGCTTGAGTTTGTGAAGGATTTTAGTTGGCTGACACCAAATGTGATTGTCACATATTATGCTAAAAGTTTATTGCATAAATTGATATGAAAAGAGTATAAAATAACATGAACTTGCTGTTTGTCTGTGCTTTCACTGCAACACATTTAATGTGGTATGTCTATACAGAGAATGCAACTTTGTTGAGTTAAATAACTAAATTATGTATGACTTATTTATTTGAAAAAGGCAGGTTTGGTGGGTCCCATAAGAAGTAAAGCCAAACTATGATTCAGTTTGCGGTGTCCTTGTGCCTTGTGCTGCCATTTTGTGTTTTCTCTCTATATATGTTGATTTTAGTAGGCTTTGAATAATGCATCTCTCCTACTGCAGTCAAAAACAGTTCATTAAACACTTTTGCTTAAACAGCCTAGATGCAGCACTTTTAAGAAGAGTAAAAGTGACAGTTTCAGCTAATTACAGTCAGGGTTGGATAACATACATACATACATCATCAAAACTGCTTATTCTTCTGGGTTGCGGTGGGGTGCTGGAGCCTATGTCATTGGGCGGAAGGCAGGATACACCCTGGACAGGTTGCCAGTCCATCACAGGGCAGATAGACAGACATACATATACAATCACACACACATTCACACCTAGGGGCAATTCAGCATTTCCAATTGGCCTGACTGCATGTCTTTGGACCGTGGGAGGAAACCCACACAGACACGGGGAGAACATGCAAACTCCACACAGAAAGCACCCCGGTTGCCCGGCCGGGAATCGAACCCAGGCCCTTCTTGCTGTGAGGCGACAGCGCTACCCACTGCGCCACCGTGCCGCCCGTGGGTTGGGTAACAGAGTGCATGTAATTGCGTTATGTAATCAGGACCACAAAACTCTATTTCATTACATTTCATTACAGCAACCCCCCAATCTAAGCAGGATATACAGTGTTACTGCTGTGACTAAATAAAGAGCAGGGTCATGAACATTTTTGCATGTTTTAATTTTAGCATAGGTTCTGCAAAAAGAAATGAGGAGAAGCAGTGGGCCCAGCCACAAAAAAGAGCCAAAAATTCCTACCAGCACTCCTGCCTTCCATTTCAATAGTGTTTTTAACACACATTCACACTCAATATGTCTCATAGGAGAATCCCCATTGCAAATTTAAAGGCTTTTCCATTAATGGATTATCTCAGTAAGAGATCAAATCAGTATAAATATGGACTTCAGGACCGGAAATCAGTGCTATTTGATGCAACATCTGTGCCATCAATTACGTAAAATTTAACGACATTCAATTTGCATTCAAAAGATAGCAGAAAACCTGCCTGCTGATCACTAGCTATTATTTCTAAAGCTTTATTTAAAAAATAGTTTTTAAAACATTTTTCACAGAACGTTAGAGGCAATTCTTCCATTTTCTTTTTATCTTAAGCATCTTAAGTATCGTGCATCAACCAGTTTTTTTTATGATTTATCCTTTCCAAAGAAAATAATCATCTGAACAACAACAGCCAGAAACACGCAAAATATATACATGTATACAATGTATGTACTCAAAGCTTATACACACAGCTGTCCGTAAAGGAAATTTAATTCTCTCTCTCTCTCTCTCTCTCTCTCTCTCTCTCTCTCTCTCTCTCTCTCTCTCTCTCTCTCTCTCTCTCTCTCTCTCTCTCTCTCAGGAAGTGATGAGTGTTGAACACAGAGCATTGTTCAGTCAGTCAGTCATTACGGGGACAGTATGGAGTTCAGGTCACTCTCTGTAATACTCTGTGAGTAAATGTTCTCTTTATGTCTTCAGCAGAGTGAGAGCTGCTGTATGAAGGTACTAATATTTAATCTGAGTGTGTAAGTCATGAGGTTGTGTGTGATGAGGTGATTGTGTGTATTTCAGTCAGCAGTCATAGTGGAACACTTTTCTGTTCTGTATGTTCGGCTTTATTACTGCAACTGTTTCGCAAATGTGTGTGTTTAATGGACTGAACTGCAGTAAATGAGTGTATACAGCGAGTTCTGAGTATGAATAGGAAGACAAGAAAAAACATGCTTGTGATTGCTGAGTCTGACCATGCTGGCTGTTGGTAACATTACTTGAATTAGATTACAAACTGTACCACTAAAGCGATGCATGGAATCAGTGTCAGTGTTAAACAGTGTTGTTTCAGTCCTCTAATGTGCTGTAAAACTGTGGTTTTGGTCTGGTGCGCCAGAACACAGCTATCATGTAGTAGAAATTAGGTCATCAGATAAAATTTCATGTGAACCACATCACACTTTCACACAGTAAACACATTTATATGCATCCTGTTTGTGTAAGAAAAAATATTACTGGTTTTGTTATATTTGGTTTAAAAATGACTCTCAGAAAGTTAAAAGTATCTTTAATTGTCCTTTTATTTTTAGTATGCATGAAATGTGTTGCTTACATGCATTTTTTTGAAGAAACTAACAATTTTAGTGTTAACATCATGTTTCTCCGATTCTCTTTCTTTTTTTAGTGTTGAGTTCACTCGTCCAGACTTTGCATGCTCAAGGTGATTTATACATAGTGCTTATATTGTGTTTATATGGGAGCTAAAAGGTTAATTATGGACTGTCAGACAGAATGTGCTTTCTGTGCAGTAATTTGTGTGTGCTTGTTGTTTGTTTATTATAGTATATTTTAAGCCAGTTCTGACTGTGCAGCCTGATTGGCCACAAATATTCAGTGGAGAGAAAGTCACACTCAGATGTTCCTTTCCAAGACACAGTATGACTGACTGGATATTCTACTGGTACAGAGAGAGCACTGAACTTCACCACTCAGATGAAAACGTTTACATCATAAAACACATCAAAGTGGATCACAGTTCAAAATACTACTGTTATATTTCTGAGAAACAGAGTCAAAGAGACTCTTATTGGAGTAACGCAGTGACTCTCACAGTAACAGGTACATGTCTAATCTTTACACCTGTAACCTGCACTGTAAAATATAATCATTAATAGTAACAGTATTTATTAATAGATCTGGAATTCACAGAGCAGTGTGTGATTTGGCTGGTTTACAGTAATATTTATGTGATGTGATTGTACAGAGAGACCAAAAGCTTCACTGATCCTGGTGCCTACTGGACAGATGTTTACTGGAGAGAAAGTGACTCTCAGATGTGACATACAAGGACACACAGACACTGAGTGGAGCTACAGCTGGTATAAAGATGGTGACAGTAACCGTCCAGTTCATTCCTCTAAAGTGAGAAAAGAATATTCATTCAGTGTTGTAGAGTCTGACAGTGGTAAATACACCTGTAGAGGAGAGAGGAGGAGTGACTCTCAGAGATCAGAGATCAGTGATGCTGTTACACTGACTGTATCAGGTGAGTGTATTAATCTATTATTCACACAAATATTCAGCATCATATCACTACATTCAATGCAGAGATTTAAGCTATATAAGGTCACACTGACTGTAAATATCTGGAAAATTCACTGCTCTCCATCTCTTCTCACAGCTTTACCCAGAGCTACACTGACTGTAGAACCAGACAGTCCTGTGTTCACTGGAGAGTCAGTCACTCTGAAGTGTGAAATAGAGTCTTACAGTAACTGGAGATATCAGTGGTATAAAGGCAGCAGTAGAACTGCAGTCAATCAGTCTCAGACAAACACCTTCACCATCAGATCAGCAGCAGATCAGGATCAGGATCAGTACTGGTGTAGAGGAGAGAGAGATAGCAGACCCTCATCATCACTGTACAGTATCAGAGTGAATCTCTCTGTTGAAGGTGAGTGATTACTGTGGTAAAGCAGTTTGTGATCTCTGCAAAGTCTTGGCAAGTAAAATGATCTAATTTAAAGGCAGTGCTTTTTGACAAGATTACTTGTTTCACAAAGCACGGTGAGTGTTACATTGTTCATTTTCACTCACCTACAAAAGTTAACTTCTTTTAATTTTTGCTACAAATCAAGCACAAAGTTTTTGTGACAATTGTGTTGATGGTTATGATATAAAATCAGGGCTTTTTCACTTGTTTCAAGAAGTAGCCTCCTTTAATAGTGTTTCAAGGACTTTGAGAAGGTACTTCTTTGTAGCACTGAATTTAAGTTACGTACAGTGAGAGTTGAATACATTATTCTGGTTTTCTGTTCTGCCTCATTTGGTAAGCAGATTTAGCTCATGTTGGCTTAAGGTGAGTATAACGTAACAATTTGTGTCACAGATTACTAGAAATATAGTTTTACCGTCAGACCTGGATCCGTATAGATCTAATTTTAATGCCTGTATCTTATGTGCATGGAAACGAAATTTCTGATGCTTATACAACCCCATTTTCAAAAAAGTTTGGATGCTGTGAAAAATGTAAATAAAAACAAAATGCAATGATGTGCAAATCATTTAAACCCTACATTTCATTGAAAATAGTTTAAATACAACATTATAAATGTTGAAAATGAGAAATTGTTTTGTTTTTCGAAAAATATTTTTTGAATTTGATTCCAGCAACACGTTCCAGAAAAGTTGCGACGGGGACAACAAAAGGCTGGTAAAGTTGTGTAATACTAAAAAAACACCTGGTGGTTGATTGGCAAAAGGTCAGTAATGTGATTGGGTATAAAATGACCATCCCAGAGAGGCTGAGTCTTTCAGAATTAAAGATGAGAAGGGGTTCACCACTCTGTGAAAGACTGCATGATCAAATAATGCAACAATCCAAGAATAACATTTCTCAACATAAAATAGCAAAGAACTTTTGCTTTTCATCATCTACGGTACAAAATAACATTAAAAGATTCAGAGAATCTGGAGAAAACTCTGTATGTAAGGGACAAGGCCAAAAACCAGCATTTGCTGGCGTGGTCTTTGCGCCTTCAGGCGGCACTGCATTAAAAACAGACATGATTCTGTAGTGGAAATCACTGCAAGTCAAGTCAAGTCAAGAGGCTTTTATTGTCATTCCATCTATGTACAAGTACACAGTGGAGTGAAATTACGTTCCTCCAGGAGCAACACGGTGCAACAAGGAACAAAAAGTACAAAATTACAAAGTGCGAACGTGCAGACAGTGTGCAAACAAAAATTAAGCTAGAAAACAATACAATAAATACAATAAATTAAACAGACATTAGACACAGTAAACAGACTGGACAGTGTAGCACCGACACAGCACAGATTTCTGGACATGAGGTAGTGGAATAAGGTGCAGACATATTTAACGTGATGTGATCTGTAAGTTACGTCAGATAACATACATATACACAGCAGTTACTGAGGTAGTAAAACAATTACAATTACTGAGGTAGGAAAACAGTTACTGAGGTTGTAAACAGTGTAAACACAGTATTAGCAGCAATGTTCCAGATAGATAGTGCAAGTAGAGCATCAAAAGAGGTGTGCATGAGGGGGGGGGGTGGGTTAGTTCAGTCCTTGTGAGTTTAAAAACCTGATCGCTTGAGGGACAAAGCTGTTGCAGATTCTGGCAGTGATGGCATGGATGCTCCGGTACCTTCTGCCAGACGGCAGCAGTGAAAAAAGTCTGTGTGAGGGATGGATGGGGTTGTTCACGATGCTGGTGGCTTTGCGGATGCAGCGTGTGGTGTAGATGTCCGTGATGGAGGGGAGAGAGACCCCGATAATCTTCTCAGCTGTCCTCACTATGCGCTGTAGGGTCTTGCGGTCGGAGGAGGTGCAATTCCCAAACCAGGTGATGATGCAGCTGCTCAGGATGCTCTCCACAGTCCCCCTGTAGAACATGGTGAGGATGGGAGGAGGGAGATGAACTTTCTTCAGTCTCCATAGGAAGCAGAGGCGCTGCTGGGCTCTCTTGGCTATGGAGTTGGTGTTGAGGGACCAGGTGAGGTTCTCTGTGTGTAGACGCCGAGGAACTTGGTGCTCTGGCTGATTTCCACAGCAGAGCCAGTGATGGTCAGTGGGACATGGTCACCCCGCACTCTTCGGAAGTCAATAACCATCTTCTTAGTTTTGTCTACATTCAGAGACAGGTTGTTGGTTCCGCACCAGTTTGTTAGCCGCTGCACCTCCTCTCTGTGTGCTGACTCATCATTCTTGCTGATCAGACCCACCACAGTCGAGTCATCAGCAAACTTGATGATGTGATTTGAGCTGTACTTTGCAGCACAGTCATGAGTCAGCAGGGTAAACAGCAGCGGACTAAGCACACAGCCCTGAGGGGCACCAGTGCTCAGTATGGTAGTGCTGGAGATGTTATTACCTATCCTGACTAACTGAGGTCTCTCAGTCAGGAAATCCAGGACCCAGTTACAGAGGGAGGCATTCAGGCCCAGCAGGCTCAGTTTTCCAGTCAGCTGCTGAGGGATGATGGTGTTGAAGGCTGAACTGAAGTCTATGAACAGCATTCTGACATAGGTGTCTTTATTGTCAGGTTCTCACGTGCTTCTGGTCTGGTTTGGCACGTCTGATGAGCGGTCTGTATGTTGGAATGAGCATTACAGAGATGTGGTCTGAGTAGCCATAGTGGGGGCAGGGCTCAGCCCTGTACGCGCCGGGGATGTTTCTACACCATTCAGAGTTGATGTAAACACACAGGCCCCCACCTTGAGTCTTACCGCACAGCTCAGCATCTCTATCCGCACGGAAACACAACAGGCCGTCGAGCTGAACGGCTAAGTCCGGAGTTGAGCTCGTCATCCATATCTCCATAAAAAACGAAAACACAGCAGTCTCTGAACTCACGCTGGGTAGCCCGCTGAATCCGGAGGTAGTCCAGTTTATTCTCCAAGGAACAAACGTTTGAGAGAAGAAGCGATGGAACGGCTGGTTGTCTGGGGTTTGCCCCCGCACCCCGCATGCTTGCCTCACTTCCGCCTTCTCGCGCATCGCTTTCGGCCAGCAGGCTCACGCAGCGCCGTGGATCTTAGCAGGCCTAGCTCGCACAGCTCTTCCCGCAGTTCGTTTGGAAGTAGAGATTGAGATTGAGGCTGATTTCTCAGCTGTAGCAGGCTCTGGTGATGGTAGACGCTGGTGCTGGTTGAAGTAGTCATGATATATAGTTTTGGTCAGGTTACACGACAGATAGTAGACAAAAACAGCAAAAAAAGCACCGTTTTGCTGTTCCCGAAGTGGCCACTGCAGCTACCCGCCGCGCCGCCGGGCTCAGAAACACTTCTGAAAACTACTGTTTGTGAAAACAGTTTGTCGCTGCATCCATAAATGCAAATTAAATCTCTCAAACGCAAAGATGAAACCATATATAAACAGGATCCAGAAATTCTGCCACCTTCTCTAGGCCCAAGCTCACTTAAAATGGACTAAAGGGAAGTGCAAAAGTGCCCTGTGGTCCGACGAATCAACATTTAAAATTCTTTTTGGAGATCATGGACACTGTGTCCCTCTGGGTTAAAGACCACTCAGTTTGTTATCAGTGCACAGTTCAAAAGCCAGTATGATAGTATAGGGGTGCATTAGTGCACATGGCATGGGTGACTGGCACATCTGTGAAGGCACCATTAACACTGAACCATATATACATGTTTTGGCAACATATGCTGCCATCCAGACAATGACTTTCTCAGGGAAGGCCTTGTTTATTTCAGCAAGACAATGTCGAACCACATTCTGCATGCAACAGCATGGCTCTGTAAAACTACAGCAGTGTCTCTTCAGTTCCCAAACGCTTACAGTGTGTTGTAAAAGACAAGGTGATGAAACACAATGGTAAACATTACCCCGTCCCAACTCTCGCTAGCACGAAGCAATCTGAATGAAACAACATGCAATGTGCTCCTCAGTATATTGAGCTTCGAACAAGCCGGGATGCCCCTGCGTCAGAGCGATGAGATAGGCGCCGGACAGTTGTCGCGACGTTTAACCTCTGTTTGCAACTTCCGGGTGCATACCCCCGTACCCCTTCATGTGTCTGGAAGAAAACGGAGATGACTTCCAGCGTCGCATGTAATGCAATCGATTACACATACGTCAAGGTATGTAGCGTATTTTTTAGGTTCAGATTGCTTCATCCTAAAGGGAGTTACAGCAGAATATTCGGGGCCTCTTTTGAGTGAATCTCCCAGAAGTATTTTCAATTAAATATAGGGTTTAAATGATTTGCACATCATTGAATTTTGTTTTTATTTACATTTTGCGCAGCATCCCAACTTTTATGGAAATGGGGTTGTATTACCTTTCAGCTTAAATCTTCTTAATAGTTTTACATTATTAAGGATGATTTGAAGAACTAGATATTATTGCTTTTTTCGGGGACCCCATTCTTAGGTTTTTCTAAATATAAGCATCTACAATGTGGGTTTTTTCCCCAGTAAACCCTTTCATTTCATGGACTGAATTATGTGCTTTATTTCCACCAGCAGAAAAACCTAAACCTGAACTCACATCAAGCCATAAAGGAGCTGCACTGATAGGAAATCCAGTGGTTCTGTACTGTAAGCTGGATCAGTCTGCTGGATGGACGTTTTACTGGTCCAAACACACACAGAACCCTGAGAATGAGATCAAGACTGAAACACACTCCTACAGCATCAGCTCAGTTAGTGTCTCTGATGGAGGACAGTACTGGTGCAGAGCTGGGAGAGGAAACCCAGTCTACCACACTCACTACAGTGATGCTCTCTGGATAAGCATTGGTGGTGAGTAAAATAATTTACAGTCTATGAATACTGCAGATAAATAAAAGAATCTCTCTCTCTCTCTCTCTCTCTCAATCTTGACTCAGTACTTTTAGCCTGCTGATTTCTTTCTTTGAGCTTTTGTCTTAGTTAAGCCTTTACATTGGGAGGTTATGTGTGTTGGTGCAAACATTTTACCTGTTGAGATTATTTTTCTCCAATTTTATCCATGCTTTTAATTATGTTTCCTTTTTATGTTTGCTTTCTTGACAATAAACTGGACCACCTCAATGCTAATGTTTGCTTTCTTGACAATAAACTGGACCACCTCAGACAATGGCTAACCTCCCAGCGCAAACTCCAGGACTGCTGCGTTTTTGTTTTTAAGGAAACATTAATGACGATATTCCAAATGCAGACATTCAGCTAGGAGAGCTAACAGTACACTTTGCACACAGGATAGCAGCACTGTCCGGTAAGACCGGTGGTTGTGGCTTGTGTGTTTATACTAATGATGAATGTTGCACAAATGCTGTATGTGTATTAAGTCACTGTGTGGCGCTTGTGGAATTTATGATTGCAAAGAGACCCCCCACCCCACCCTGGTTGCTCAGTCCACATCTCTGTCATGTTAATTCCAGCATAAAAACTTCTGCTCACTCATACCAAACTATTTTTGAAACAGGTGAGAACCTAGTCTGAGGGGGGCAAAAGCACACAGACAGGATACATGTTCAGGGAGACAGCTACATATAATAATTCAACAGATTTGGAGAAATATACAGCATCTTTGACTGAATACACCAGCAAATGCAAAGAAAACCTGGAGTGCTGCCTTCAGGACAGATGAAGGTGGCTCTCAGGTGACTCTCAACACAGCAAGAGACAGCCTGGGCTATCAGAGAGGCAAAGCCCACAGACACAGTCTGTCTGTCTACAGACACTTTCAGGCCACCAAAGACACACAGTTCATGCGGCAGGGAATTTAGGCCATCGCTGACTACAATGTGACATCACATGTCTGTGATGGTGATGCCTCGCTACTAGACGCACTGAGCGATTTTTACATGTGGTTTGCAGCATAGAACAACCAGCCAGAGAGGAAGACCACCCCTTTACAGAGTTGACCTGCGAAAGGCCTCTGGCCCTGATACCCTACCTGGCTGGGTGATCAGGGGATGTGCTGATCAGCTTACTGATGTCCAGACAAACATCTTTAACATTTCTCTGAGCCAGGCGGATGTGTTGGAGTGCTTTAAAATGACTACCATCACCATGCCCCATTATCTGAACCCTATCTGGGATTAGAAACCCCCCCCAACTCTTTTCCATATTAAAAAGTAACCATACATTGTATCTATAACAAGATTATCACACATCTGAGTGGTCATTTCTGTGTCTAAGGTGTCTCTCCTCCAGTCTCTCTGATGGTCAGTCCCAGCAGAACTCAACACTTTATTACTGACTCTCTCTCACTGAGCTGTGAGGGACAGAGTGACTCTACTGGATGGAGAGTGAGACGATACACACACAGTGAGAAGGTGTCAGATTGTTCATCAGGCTGGGGATCAGTTACAGGATCTACATGCAGCATCAACTCCCTCTACACATCCCACACTGGAGTGTACTGGTGTGAGTCTGAATCTGGAGAGAGCAGCAATCCTGTCAACATCACAGTGCACAGTGAGTCTACGTGTAGTGTTTATTCTTGTTAAGAGAAATGCTCCATCATATAATGTACAATACGATGGGCCAGACGTATAAATGTCATCAGTAACAGTGCACCGCCACACAAAATGTGCAGCGTGGTAATTAAGAGCTATTCATAAAGTAACCATGGAGGTGATTAGTGAGCCACTGTCTTTTAACGTGGCAGCATTTTCATTGGTGTCCTGGACAAGAGCCAATCAGAATCAACATGTAAATGATTGACTGCCAAAAGAAACTAAACCAAAGAAATAAAATACCAAGCTTTGCAGAAGCAAGAATACTATTTTAGTATGTACAATTCCATTTCTCTTTTAAATAATTCAAAAATAATAATTTTTATTTAGAAGTATTTTTATTGCAATTAAAAAAATAATCAACATGCTGAAATTCTGATTACTATGGCAAGCAATTTTAGCTTTTATTTCCTATTTTTCCTTTATCACTGGAATCCAATGTACTCTTATGAAAATTCAGTTTTAACTACTACTTATTGAATTCTTGATATCAGGAATTTGATTTGCACATAGGAAAATTGAATTGTCAGTTTTCATGTCATTTCCACATGTGTAAATTGTAAATTTGTAAAATCCATTGTAAACTGAAAAATACTATTAAAAGCTCAAACTACTTGCAATAAAATCAATTCAAACATTAGAATTTCAACATGTTAAATGACTCACTTATTTGGATTCCATTTCCAAACCACCATTCCACACATATGAGGAGGACTGATGCAGGAAGAACTGCGCTGTTTAAATACAGTGCAGGTAAATCTGTCAGTCTGAAATCCTGCTTAAGCAAGTGTTTTTTTCTCTTCTGTTCCCCTACAGCAGCAGTTAGAAGGCTAGCCATGCTGCTCCATTCAAACAAATCAAAATGTGTTTTTTAAATAATCTGGTTAATCAGATAACTGTGTGTGATTGGCTGTATGCTGCACCGTATACCATTTAATCATGATTGGCACCTTACAGGGAAAACTGCCATCAGAGTGGTTCAAATGTTATTTTTTGTGTCATGTTATTAATCACTACCACCATACTTAAATGAAGGAAACACGCAGCCACAGCTTAAATGACACAAGCAGTAAAACACACCAGTACTCGTCATTTATGAATGAATAAACTCCTTCCCGCCACACTATTTACTTTTGATGCCATTGTACATCTGCCACTACATTTTATGATGAACACAACAGCTGTATTGCACTGTTGATTGTTTTTCTCATGGGCTGAATCAGATCTCTTACAGCAGATAAAGCAATATGAGATTTCAGTCACAACATCTGACCTCATTAATAAGGTTACAATCTTTGTTAAGGAAGATCATTCACAGTAACATCAGGTATGGAGCTCATCGAACACTATGTGGTTCTTTACTTTTTCACAACTTCAGCATTTTTATTTACATTTTCTTCCAGATGGTGATGTGATTCTGGACAGTCCTGTTCATCCTGTGACTGAGGGAGATCCTCTGACTCTACACTGTTTATATCGCTTCACAAAGCCCCCAAACCTCACAGCTGAGTTCTATAAGAATGGATCACTCCTCCAGACTCAGACTACAGGAGAGATGACCATCCATACTGTCTCAAAGTCAGATGAAGGTCTCTATCACTGTAAACACCCAGAGAAAGGAGAGTCACCACAGAGCTGGACCTCAGTCAGAGGTGAGAGAACTTTTTTAAATTTAGTTGTTATTAAACCAATCAAGTAATAGGATTAAACATTTTTCGAACATTTTACAAATTGTTTCTGTGAAAATTAATATTTTTTCAGTGTCTACACGATCTGCTGGTCTGGTTGGAGTGGTTGTAGGAGTGAGTTTTGCTGTGTTGTTCATCATCTTACTGATACTGCTGTGGTGCTACAAAACCAAAAAAGGTCTGATAACTCATCCAGACAATTAATGATAATGTATAAATAAAACATGCATAAAACAGAGAGCATTAAACTTGCTTGAACTATTTTACATTATTACATTATTACACTTTTTCTTTTATTTCTGTCTTGATGGTGAATCTGTCTGTCCCTAAAGGAAACAAGCTGAACACCAAGCAGATGTCAGAGCAGAAACAGAGAGAGTCAGGAGCTGAGGACTACCAATCAGGATACTCACCAATGCAGGCTGGTCAGACAATGAGTTAAAGAGTATTTTCCCTATTTTTTACATGAGCTGAAAATGATGTCCTTACTGACGCCGCATGACATTATCAAAATATTAGCATCATGATCACGTTGCTACATATTATGGTTCCAACATATTATTCCAATGTACAAAATAGGTGAGTTTTGTTAGATTACATGAATGAATTGATTCCTCAAAACACACAGAGAAACACTCAGAGAGTAAAAACATTATTGATTAGACAGTTTATTTGCATATTACAGCCTTAGGCTGCATTCAGTGAATGCTTTTTTTAAACTCTTTTCACAGTAATAACTTACTAACTAACTAACTAACTAACTAACTAACCAATTAAATAACTAACTAAATAAATAAACAAATAAATAAATAAAGATTTTTGCATTTTTGGAGGTCCATCAAATCCATTAAATCCAATTTCTTTGCATTTTTATTTTTTTCTTCAAATATTTTGATGGAATATCAAGAAAGTTACAGTTGTGCTGATCGTTTTATCTTGGCATGGCCGTCTTTGCAGAGAGGTGTGAATTGTTTTTACAGCAGGAGTTCCAACCCCTCCCTTTAACCCATCATTGCTCACTAGCATCTCAACACAGAGCCACATTTCACACTCAAACAGCCAACAGACTCACACACAGATGGCCAGCAGTGTGCTAGTTCATTTGATAACAGAGTTACAAGGGAAAAATATTTTATTTGATTGTATTATTTAAAAATATTCAAGTTGATTTCCATTCTGCCTGAAGAATTGCCACTAGGGGGCCTGCAGAAAGAGCACAAAAGAGCAAAAAACATTTGTACAACATGTAGACAGTGATACATAGGAAAGTTTCTTGAGTTCAGATAGTGGTAATCTTTGTGCTGAGTGACAGTGACATAAGTGACAGCCAAAAGTAGCTTGTCCTTGAGAGCTTTTTAGTCGCAATAATCAGTCACAGTTCTCCACTGACATATTCAGGTCTGTGCCTGTAACATTACTCACTGTGCAGTTTAACTGCCGTGCACTGGTGAGTTAAGAGCTCCACAGAGCCTGGCCACACATTATTTTTGGTTGCTCAGAAGAACTGAAGATCACGTTATGTGGTGTGCAGATATCAGTGTATCAGTTTCCAGCAATGTGTTAATGACACATCACCATGACAAGTCAGCGTTGACTGAGGTGACCAGTAGCTCAGCAGTGGGATCATTCAAAAGCTGTGAAGCTAATGTCCGCACAGTGCCTGCACATATTCAATTATGCGGTAAAGCAAAGATGGCACTTACAGTAACTAACACTGTATTCTGTATCAGGTGATGCTGCAGACGAGTCCAATGATGTTGTTTACTCACAGGTGATGATGAAAAACAAGAACTTCAAGAACAAAGGTACAGTTTGATTGGGTATTTGTAATGCTTTAGTATCAGATATACCAAATCAGCAGATCAGGATGTGTCTACCATACATTCAGTCATATATCATATGCTAGGTGTGTGCAATTGTGTTATGGTATCCAATGTTTCTACTATTTCAGGGGAAGATATTCAAGAACAGGATTCACAGACTGAATCCATTTATTCAAATCTACATTCAGGCAAAGCCACAGGTACTCTGCCTCTATTTCTCTATATCAGGGGTTCCCAATCCCAACCCCGCCAACCCAACACTATGCACATTTTTTGCTTCGTCTTATTGACCACACCTGATTCAATTCATTAACTATGTAGTAAGCGCCTAATTGGCTGTGTCAGGTGTGTAGAGTAAGGAAACCACAAAAAAGTGCAGAGCAACTTTTCCTAATCTCAGTCGACTGGATAACATAGAAGATATCACATTTTGAATGACAGCTGTCATAGGATCAGCAGAAAAGAAGTGTGCACTTTGGGATGATTGAAAGTTAGAGGTCAGTGAAGTGGTAACATCTGCATTTTCTTTTGTCTTCTACGCTACTGCAGATGTTGGTGCTGGATCCATGGATATAATTTATGCTGAGGTTGAAGTGAAAATGAAGAAGAACCCAAAGAAACAACATGGTAGAGCAAAATTTAAATGTTTTTCTGATGTACCCACATCAAGAGATACTGTTTCATAGATCCTAGATTCATTAGATGGATTCTAATTTCTAAATCACAAGTTTTATTCAATTTATCAATTGTTTTTGTTAACGCTTTGTCATCTTTCGTAGTGTTTTCTATGGTAACGCTTTCTATTGTAGTTAAAGTAGTATTATTATTTTGGGGGAGTTATAACTAAATAACATTGAAATTCCCAACAAATTCTAGGCATTAACCCTTTAAAATCTCAGGCTTATTACAAATTTAGGCTTATTTCTCAGTAACTACAGGGACTACAGGGCAAACTGGCTGAGCTATTCCTAGATTATAGAAGTGTGTATTTAAATTTTGGGCCTGCCAGTGGGACCTGACCATTTAAGGGGTTAACTGGGTAAGTGTGATGTACAAACTACACAGTACTGTGCAATTATTTTGGGGAAAAAAGTATGATTGCTTTTATGATCGATTATAACATTGGACGAAGTACAAAGAGTTTTACATTGTATATACTTGTGTATTTATTAAGCTTTTAATCTCACTTTGCTTTCATGTTTAAGTTCACCTTTGAATTATTTTTATATATATTTTTGTATTTTAATATGTTCATAATCAATTTTACTTTTCTTCATATTCTCAGTTTGATAGCTGGAAACCGTCAGTCATTTCGGTGTAATTTAGTTTTGATACTCAAAATAATTATCTAGTACTTCGGAGCTCACACATACCTGCTTAATACTTAGAACCGAGGGACTTTAAAAGATTATTATATTTTTTTTAGTCTGGCATTCAAATCAGGAATTCATTGATTTTGATGAGTTGACAATCTTTCTGGAAGCTAATTCTCGGTTTTTGGCCTCTGTTTAGAGAAGACTAGTGTGAATGATGGCATTGTGTACTCAGAGCTGAAGCAGAACACAGACGAAGGTGAGAGCAACAGTACAGCATGACAAAGGTCAAATTTACATCCTCAAAACTGACAAACTGATCCATATTCTGTAAGAAAACAATAATACTAATAATAATAATAATAATAATAATATAAAGTACTTTAGGAATCCTTGTATGCAAAACAAATTTTAAATGAAGATCATCTTTTAAAGGTCCGTGAGGAGTGAACACAAAAGCAGAATTCTTCTGAAGATGTGAGAGAAAGCAACACAGAACCTGGCCATACATGTATTAATGCAACCAGATCACAGAAAGAGTAAGGAGTTGTTTTCGTTCCACTTGTTCTTGGTTTGTCAACAGTGTTATTTGTACCAAAAAATACTATTTACACATTACATGCTATGAGAAAAAGCAGAAGCATAGAAAAATGCATCATTCCTCAAGTCTGGATACAGAGGCTTTTCATTGCTTCATTTCAAGACACTGGACTGGACTCTTGAGTAGTGCAAACAGCTAAGCATTGGTTCTATAGTCAGGAGATCACAAGTTCAGCCCCCAGCTTTTACGTAGTTGAGAAGACATTCACTCAGCCTTCACTTTTATATTTAATTTTGCTTTTCTGTTTGAAAAGCATTTTGAATTACCCCTGTGTATGAAGTGTGCTTTATAAATACACTGCATATGACCTTGATATTTAAGATCATTGATCACTGAATTTACTGTATAAACTTCAGTAGTTGTGACAGTAAATAAAGTAACCCACATTAATGTATTCATGTCTCATGTTTTATGGATGGTGTAATGAGCGAGATCAATCATGTGATTCAGAAAGTGTATTTACAGTGGTATGCAAAAGTTTGAACACCTCTGACCAAATTATACTTTTATTGATTTTCTACAAATTTTACTAAACTATTTCTATTTCTATTTATTTATTTGTTTGTTTTAACTTGTTGGGAAAAAAACAATCTACTCTAAACACTGACTGACTGACTGAGTCTGTGTCTCAGCAAGGGTTGTGATTGAACAGTGTGTTAATCAGACTAAGCTCATACTGTACATCCAGTAGAGCAGACACACACAGAATGCCACACGCTGTGTAGACTTTGGTGACAATTTTACAAAGACAAGCCTTTCCCAGCTCTTCAAAACACTCAGCACTGGATGTGTGTGTTAAATTCAGAAGTCCTGCAGCAGTGATAGCAATATCCAACATCTGGTCTACAGTGTATCTGTATTAAGCCCCCCAGCACTAGACTGTGGAGCAGTGGAACTGTGTTCTACAGCATGATGGAGTGATAGGATGGGCTGGACAGGAATTTGTGGCTCAGTGCAACCAAATTCTCACAGCAATGTTCCAACATCTAGTGTAAAGCTTTTTTCAGAAGAGTAGGGCAGCAAACTCTCTATTAATACCCAAGAAGATAAACTGGATGGGCAAGTGTCTACAAACTTTGGGCATATTCTAATACAATTAATATAATCCTATGTTTAGATCAATTGGTTGCTTTCACATATGTAATAAATATGACTTCTAGCAAAACCAGGTCAAACTCTAAGAAATAGGTTGAGTGTCATCAGACTTGATTGTGGTCTTGTGGTCCTCATTTACATACAGTTGTAAAGACCACAAGGCTGTACAGTGTCCCATTTCTCATGCTATTCAAAGAGAGGCTCTCTATGCATCCTCAGTTCAGACTTTGGTAAAGACTGCATCAGTGCAGTAACCTCTCACCCAGAATTCCCTGAGATGCAGTTGAGGACCATTCAGAGTGAATGTAGTTGTTTACAGATGTCTGACCAACGTGGCAGAGCAGATCATTTTCAGTTGTGAGTTAAAAATGTTAATGTTATTGCTACACCATGGAGTCTGAGAGTAACGCAAATTCAATACTCTGCATGTCCTGTACATATTGTCATATTGACAATAAAGCTGACTTGACTTGACTTGACTAAAAAGCGCTTCATTAATTTTATGTGTTATTGAACTGCATATTGAGCCACTACTGATAAGGGAATTAGCTCATTAGAAAATGATGAGATATGGGATGGTGCGTTTGTAGCCAGGTGGAGTTTAAGAGGCAGATTTACAAACTTGTGTTGTCACAAACTCCATTTTGGTGATTTACTAAATAGCTGCAACAGGTTCTTAACACTCATAATAAGATCAAAGGGGTGGTTGCTGCTCTTTTGCTCTTTTGTGTCATTGCATATGCATTTAGAGGAGTTTCCCCCTCAAAGTGCAAAATACTGGGAGGTGATTATTATAATGAGGCACCTGATTTACCAAGACTGATAGTAAAACTCACTGTGCACTGCATACAATGCCTTTGGACAGCTTGTCTTATTTTTGCCACTAACATAGGCTTTTTCACACAAGTATATTTCTTTTTTGATGGAAACAAACTGGTAAACACCAGCCACTTCACATTATTTATTTCACATTAACTTCTACTTCCTAATACTTTAACTTAGTAAGTCAAAATATAGAGACAATAAGTCATTACTTTGACCTAAAGAGTCATGGTAAGAGTCAAGGTAAACTGCTAATTTGGCTGACCTCATTTGCACAAAAGTGTCAGCAGACCCTGTAATTAGCGCCTCTCTTAGTAAATCTGCCTCTAAGTTGGTATGTTTGCATGTGTATGCACTGTCATGTTTTAAGAGCTGCTTGCAGAAGTGATGTCATTATAACACTGCAAATGTCCAGGTCACACACAAGAACAGGTATACATTAATAAGCATTGAGTAATACTGTGTTTTACTAAAGCATCTTTAGCTGTTAAGCATCTCTTAATAAACATCTTTCCAAGGGCCAGAAGCCAAAAAAAAAAAGAACACCAAAAACAGGGAAGACCATGTGTCTGATGTTCAAAAGTGGTCCGGTGTCTACTGCTATGAACACTCTCTAGGCTAGTTTTATATTTTATTAATTGAAATTATAAAATTGCCATTATTCTTTGACATAATTTCATGATCTCCAGCTGGATGAATAATTATGTCTGTGGAGATTTTAGTAGGCTTTGAATAATAAACAGGGATTCAACCTTGATCCTTGATGTTTCAACTGTGAATAAATGTTGAAATGCCTGCTGGGAACTTGGATCGTTGAACTAACCAACATCCAACTAACGACTGTTTCCCAAGACCACTGCAGCTCAGTTGGACTTCTGTAGTCTGAGCTACGTTAGTTGGAACCACCTTAGTTTGAACTACAGTGTTTGAATTAAAATATGTGTGACAGTCTACGCCACAGTGTTGAGATTGGGGCACATCCATTTAATAACTTAAAATATGTTACCTTTGCTAAATTAATTTCCTACATGCTAAAAATGCCATTCACTGTATTAAAAAAGAAGATTTTATATCTACAATTGCAGCATAAATACTGTAGCTCAATATGTAAACCCACTACACTCTGTTAATGTTGCAAAAAACAGGTGGTTCCTTGTTTAAATCTGACCTTCAGTAATTTGTATGTTTCAGTGTCTGCTCACAGTAACCATAACACAATATACATTGCTGTACTAAAAATGTTTTAATAAAAGATATTAGATCTATCCACAGTATATTGTTCATATTCTCACATATGGGGCAACAGATTAGGTCATGTTTCCCTTTTATGATCAAAATAAACTTACCTTTCACAATAATTGCATATTTTGCACTTTGTAAAGTTCAGATGACGGCCTACACGGAAACCGAACTCAGTACTGCAGAACAGCTTATTATAACAATGATATCATCAAAGAGAACTGATAGACATGGTATTATTATAAGAGCAAGGTTGTGAACAAAATGCACAAAATACACAATATGTTCGTTTCATTTAATTCAAACTTCTGGAATCAGTGATAAAGTCACTAGGAACTTAGGAGCTTCTAACCACAGGTCTAGAACTGTAGTTCAAAATATACAACTAAATAACAGTGTTCGCAAATGTTCAGATTTTGGGAAACATCTGTGTTGCTTAACGATGGTTGGTACTATGTAAGTTAGCAATATAGTTGCCTTAAGAGTTCAAACTATGCTTTTGGGAAACACATCGCAACTATGTTATGTGTTTCCAACTATATAAACTATGCTTTTGAGAAACATAACCCTGGGTGGGTTCACGCCAAATTGGGCAGATTTTCTTTTGAATTTGGTGGTGGGGGGCAGTTTGTCATTATTTTGGCAGGCTTTAAAAATATATAAAATGAATAGACTGCATTACTTAAATTTGAATAACTAAAATTTGAACATTCAACTTCTCCCCACATCCAATCACTTGTCAAAACTAACTGACATGTTTTAGTCACTCCTGTGGAGTGGAGGCCATTGCCCTGCTCATCCATACCTTTGGCAGTCAACATCAGCAACGCGCCCAGTTTATTACTGACGCAGTGAATGTTTGGGCTTCATAACACAGATTATCTATAGTTGAGAAGACACCACTGCCTGCATTACAGCAGCCTGTGACCATTGGCAGAGATCAAGTAAGCAAGTTTTAAAAATGTGTATGAGGACTAATTATGCTTGCAGTATTATTCTATTCATTTGTCTTTCTGCAAATTTTTAAAGGCAAGACATCAGCAGTTAACATGAAGTAAGAAGCTTATTATGTATGTCATGTTGGTTAAATGCTGTAATGTTTCATATAACAGTTAAAGTGACTTTAGATAGTTTTTGATGAGTACTTTTTGGGCAATTGTACCTGCATTTTTGGGCAATTTCTCATGCATTTTTTGCTAATTTTAAACCTGTTTTTGTTGGAAACTATAGAGGCACACTGCTAACCCTGCACAACGGGCATTGAAGGCTGCAGTGGATCAGAAATTTTGCTGGCTCCCCAGTGACAACATTATGAGCTTTCATTATAAGCTTTTAGTTATAACAAATGCAGTCTCTGCACATCCGCAGTACCAGTAACCAACAACAACATCAATGATAATAATAATACTATTATTATTAATAATACTAATACTCACTTTATTTATTAGTGCAGAGTCTCTAAATCCCATAGTTTGGGTATTGCCTTTTTTAATGATTATTTTTAATTTTCATTGTACTTCACTGTAAGACTGAACAAAAATATGTTTCTGTCCTCTCCTGGAAAATCACTGTAGTTCTCGGACTACTTTTCCTTATCTTTTCTATAATTCAAATCACACGAACGCCATCCTTTCACAATTATTTTAGCAACACAGATCTTAGAAGGTTATTAAAGAGTGTTTAGTTGCTGGATATTTGCACTTTAAACAGAGAGGCCAGAACAAAGAGGTTTGCAAGATTTGAGTCAATGATCTTCTGTAAATAAAATTTAAGCCAACCAGCAGGAA